AGCTTGTTACTCCTAAATGGCTTAATAGAAATTCTAGTGCAAGGTGTCATTTTGAAGATAAGTTCTTATCTTTACGTTGGTGTATTGTGGAGCTCAAGGGGATGTCTGGAAGGTCATTTTCGAATTTGGCTAAGGTAGAAAACTGTTCCGAGATACCAACTTTGAAGGCCTATATCTGGAGTTTGGAGTATGCTCTCAGGCTGATTCAAGTTGGAGGTGAAAGAGACAGTCTTCTTCTTCAAAGGCAAGGAATTGGTAGAGTTCAAATCAACCTAGAAGACCATTGTCGAAGGCCTCAAAGATGCTATGAAGCCTGTTTTCCCAGGCAGACTTGCTTGTGTTTTCAGTCAATTTCTTGGCCATCAAGTTACCTTGCTTTACATGAATTCTTTAGCCTTTTCCTGTTCTAATTGGTTTCTTTGTTAGTATAGAAGTGTAATAGGTTTTCATTGACTATAGAAGTGTAATAGGTTTTCATAGGCCTTCAAAGTTGGTATCTCGGAAGTTTTCAATCAAGGGGATGTCTGGAAGGTCATTTTCGAAGCTCATCAAAAGGTTACCTCAAAACAGGAAAACTACCTGAATTTTGCTAAGACAGAAAACTGTTCCGAGATACCAACTTTGAAGGCCTATATTTGGAAGTGTAATAGGTTTTCATTGGCTATAAAAGCCCTTTAGTTCGCATTGTAATAGATAGAATACGATTGAATGAATTTTACCCCAATTCCCAAACTTGAGAGTTTGTGACTTTGATGGGTTTTTGGTTGCGATAAAAAACTTGCTGAACCTTGATTATCAATCGAGAATCGCCCTCGATTGCATCGAAAGCTTCCTCATAACGAGTGTGCATGCTTCCAGGTGTAAGGGTTCCCGTTGTTTTCCATCCGAAACTGAGTTTGTGAGAGCTTGACCAAGCTAGGGTCGAGTTTTGTTTTAATATGAGATCAAATTCTTTACCAAGCTAGCTCTCTCCGCGACTTTGATCCTTTGAGACCCAATTTTGGGCTCATCAAGTGGCATCTATAGCCTGTTTCAACGCAGTGGACACAAGGACGGAGATAGCAAAGGAAGGCGGCGCCGGAGAAAGTCACTGGACGAGGTCGAAAAGCCCTATCCTAGGTGACCTTGCCCTGCTGTTGTCCGAACAGAAAAAGAAGAAGAAACAAACAGGGACAGCTGCACCATCGAATCAAGCTTCCAACCTTGCATCGGCTGCTAATCAAACGGAATTGACGATGGGAGAGGCTCAACCTGTCACAATGGTCGGACTGCAATAGTTCTTCCAAGAGCAGGTCGTTGCCCTGCTCCAGAACATGTTGGACAAGCAAGAATACAAATTTACATCAATACAAAAATTTGATGTTCTTACTCGACAAGTCACAATGCTACGACAGCAAGGAGGACCAATAGCGGCGACACCGCTTGAGACGCAGGCCGCCGACGCAGCTGGTGGACATCTATTGGAAAATCAGGGCACCCTTGCGAGGACGAGACATACAGAGCAGAAGCAGGCTCTGGTCGAGCGAGTGTAGGAGCTGGAAAGACAGCTCATGACCACCGAAATCAATAGGTGGGATGAACAAAATCCCAATCGCCAACGTTTGGAAAGCCACGGAATGAGGAAGGAATAGAAGATGCCCCTGTGGCTGAGCTACGAGGAATCAAACTCTCGATTCCAACCTTTCATGGCCTCACCAACAACGCGTCGGCCTACTTAGATTGGGAAATGAAAATCTTGTTGTTTTTCCAGTGTGGCCATTATACTGATTCGCAGAATATCCTCCTAACTACTTACGAGTTCCAAGACTATGCGGCGACATGGTCGGAACAAGTGCAGTTACGACGGAGAAGGAATTTACAACCCCCTATTACAACGTGGGATGAGCTACGAGGGATGATGAGGGAACGGTTCGTACCAGCGTACTATTGACGTGAATTGCACGAGTCGATGACTACTTTAAGGAGCTTGAGAAGCTCTTAATCCGGGCTGATGTGCGAGAGGATCAAGAGGCGACGATTTTGCGCTTCCTTCATGGCCTCAATGGGGAGATTAGGAATGAAGTGGAATTGCGACAATTCGTAGACCTGGAAGAAGTAGTTCACCTTGCTATCAAGGTTGAACGACAATTGAAGACTGTAACAGGGCGACGATTCCAATCCATGACCTCTCGACAGAATGCTGCGGTGGAAATCGCCTCTCAGGAAGCTACTGCTCCAACTCGTCCCAACATGGCAAAGGTTGCGGGACAGGGCAATGTCTCTGGTGTTTCCAAAAGAGCTGGGGGAACTACTGACAGATTCGAGTGATTCAAATGCCACGGTCAGGGGCACAAATCATTTCAATGCCCAAACACGAAAACACTGGTTCTTCGCGACGGTGAGTACTATTGTGATGTTGAAGAGGAGGCGGAGAGGCCTGATCACATGCCCTCCGACGACGACGTCGATGAAGAGATCATTGCTGAGACTCCATCTGGGAAGCTAGCGTTTGTAACTAGAAGACCCCTCACGATTGAGGTTGATGGTGAAACTCAGCAGCGGGATAACCTATTCCACACTCGTGTCTAATACAAGGGAAAACAGCTTCGTTGGTGATCGATGGGGGAAGCTGTACCAATGTGGTGAGCTTGGAGACGGTTAGGAAGCTCGGGCTGAGCACGCTCAAACACCACGAACCCTACAGGCTCCACTGGCTTAATGATCATGCTGCGGTTAAAGTGACTAAACAAGCTTGGGTGGAGTTCGAAATTGGTTTCCTTGTTAGTTTAGAAGTGTAATAGGTTTACTTTGGCTATAAAAGCCCTTTAGTTAGCATTGTAATAGATAGAATACGATTGAATGAATTTTACCCAAATTCCCAAACTTGAGAGTTTGTGAGTTTGATTGGTTTTTGGTTGCGATCAAAAACTTGCTGAACCTTGCTTATCAATCGTGAATCGAACTCGATTGCATTGAAAGCTTCCTCATAACGAGTGTACATCCTTCCAGGTGTATGGGTTCCCGTTCGTTTCCATCCAAAACTGAGTTTGTGCGAGCTTGACCAAGCTAGGGTCGAGTTCTGTTTTAATACGAGATCAAATTCTTGACCAAGCTAGCTCTCTGCGCGACTTTGATCCTTTGAGACCCGATTTTGGGCTCATCAATTCTTTTTATAGGTTTGTTATTTTCAATAGCATATGGTCGATGAACTTGCATAAGGTAGAAGGGTCGTCAAATAAATTATTTATGTTTAAACTTCTTTCATGACGCTATTGTTTCAATTTGTATGGCTAGTAGTTGATCTTGATGTAACTTTTGAGTAATGTAGCAGTTTCTCTGAATCTTTTTAAAAAGTATTAAAAAAACATTTGAGTGTTTAGCTTAAAAACTATCAGAATTACTTTCTAATATAAGAGGTGATGTAAAATGAATAAAAATATTTCTAACATAAAATATGAATACAAATTCTAAAAAATAAAAAAAGATTTGTTTTGTTAACGATGATCTCAAATCATAGCTCTGCTTTTAAGTGCAGAAACCTTCAGCTTTATAGAAAGCGAAACTTTGAAAGTGTTTGGCTTGATTTCAAATTTTAAAACATAAAACTTCTAAAATTCGGGGCAAATATAGTCGTATTCTTTAGGCTTTTTATTGGTTTGCGGTAATCATGGTTCTCCTTTATGAAACTTTTGAACTGATTGCAGGTTTGAGGAGGTTCAACTCGCATTGATTGGCTCAAATTAGGTTGGATACACATGGGTTTGGGTTCAATTGTCTTTCTCAAACAAAAGGAAAAAGCGAAATGAAAAACACTAAAGCTAAAACTTGCTACCGACTTAAAACTCGTCAACACTAGGTTCAACTCGCGTTGATCTAGTTGAACAGAGTTGTGGGAAAACTCACACCTGACACAACCCGCCAATTATAAAAAGATATAAAACTCACTCTTGCCGAAAACATGTAAAACTGGGTTCAAGTAACTTTGGTCGGGTTGAATTAGGTTGGACACCCATGCGTTTGGACTCAATTGTCATGTTCAACCAAAAGGAAAAAGATACTAAAGCGGATAAAACTCGCTCAAGACCCCAAACTCTCAACAGTGCGTTCAACTCGCGTTGATCAGGTCGACCCAGTTTTAAAAAATTCACAATTTACCCAACCTGTCAATTACAAAAGCGGATAAAACTCGCTCTCTATACGAAACGCGTCAATAATTGGTCAGAGTTCAATTGTCATTCTCAACGAAAAAAATGAGATATAAAAAATATTAAAGCGTACAAAACTCGCTTTCTTTGTCTCTTTAGTCAATGTGTCAAATATAACTCTTCTATAACAACGAAACTTCACGTATTTCTTTCAACAATGTGGTATAATCTACATTTAAATTGATAAAAGGGTGTGTCTTTATAAGAATTTCACGGTGGGAGTCAAGCTTGTTATGGATTCTCAACTGAACTATCCATGTTAGTTGATCATATTATAATTCGCCATAGGTTTGAAAAACTCGTGGAGCCAATATATATATAACGAAGACAATTATGTTGTCGATAATTTGTCTAACATTCTCTATAGGTGTTCATTGTTTTTCCGAGCCAAATCCTTCCATCGGCTGCTGGTTATTATATGACACTCTTTGCCTTTGAATGTCATGTGACATTTCATCATATTAAGTATCTTCCACCAATCTTCCAATGCAAAAAAGAAATCATACAAACATGTCCTTTACAACAAATCCAATCTCTTTTTTCAAGCATGACAAAAACCAAGCCATGCAATAAACAAAACGAGAATTCTAGAAAAAATAAGCTCAGAAAAAAACCCAAAGAAGTATGAATCTAATAGAAGGGGCAAAAAACCACCCAAGAACATAAGGGCGTTATTTGTCCAGCAACCATCCGTAGTACTAGTAGCAGTATAAAATTTCACATAAAAAAGGGGTCGCCTGCCGGATTTAGTCTCTCAAAATTCCATTAAAAGATTATATAAACCCACACAAAAAACCATCTCTGGAAAAGGAAGGCTTATAGGCCCTGATCAGCAAGGTAATCTCCCAACCTCTCCACCACCATATTGCATTGCCCTGGAGTTACTGGTTCATCATACAGACCAAACACCAGTGCTTGCCCTGTTTTCTTCACAGTCACACCCCCAGAGCCCTTAAATCCAAAGAAGAATAGATAGTAAGCAAAAACATCTTAGAATGAATATGCTTATCAGGGTTTGCTGAAAATCACACCACAAAGGTAAAATCAGTGAATCAGTAATTGTAGTGTGTAATGGCTCTTGAACAAAGAGGTATCGCATCGAAAAGATTAAGGTATGCACCTAACAACGATTTCTTATAAGTGGTCCCCCGCGAATTAGTTATGAACTGTCGGTAATTGGGTTTAAGAATCAAATGATGAAAGTTGTAAAGGGAAATTAATCATGGAGAAGCTTTATGAGTTTTCACATGATGGTTTGTCTTAATAAAGTAACTTCTATAGTTATCTTTACAACATATATTGGACTAATTATCATATTTCAAAATGAATCTATCGGGTTTTATCTCATGAACAATTATTGAGCCTGATCACCCTAATGAGATATCTATATGACCAACTTATGAAGGGAAAACTGAACTATAATTTGAATTAGGAAATGAAGAGAATGTGCCATCATTAGAAATGAAATTATATACTTTAAACTATCAGGAATGGATGATTACATACCTTCTTTCCACGAATCACGGCTCCGGGCTCTCCTTGGATGACCATGTACTTTGTCCCACCCAGATGCAATCCGGTCGGGGCAAGGGTTCCAGGTTCATCCAAATCTTTCATCATGGCAGTTATCTCCTCTGGTTTACACTACACAAAACCAAGAACCAAGTAAATTCCATGGATGAAAAGAACTAGAACATATTCATTTCTCAACATTCAGAAGGAAGCCAATTTTGAGCGCAGATGAGTAACAACATTTTAATGTCGTGTAATATCAATCATTAGCGATAATGACAGAAATGGCAAGATCCATTACAAAGTAAACCTATTCTCATGTTTTTTTTCATTATTGAACTGGAACTTCGGCATCACAATATTTCATAAATAAAAATTGATAATATAACATCCATGCTCGTAAGTTGTAGGCATGTATAGAATCACATATCTAGAATGGTAAGGGCCTCCACATTGAGGCGATAAAAATAAACCATAATAATTATCACAATATTCAGAGTCAACAGTTTTAATCCATTAATATCATGAGAATCAATTCTCTTGCACCAATCAGTGCCTCAATCTTTATCACCCCCCTACAGAGCGTGAGATTATACATGTTCTTAGAAATCTAGTTTCCATTCAAAGCAAACGATAGCAAGATCATTCAAATCAAATCGATCAACATGCGCATAGAAACGCGAATGAGCACAAAATTAAGAAAGCTTAAAATTCATAATCCAGATTCCTTAATCAGTTTAACCCATAGCAAAACTAGAGGAAGAGGTTGAAAAACCTTCAATCTCTTATGCACACAAAGGAGAAATACACGCACACAGAAATCAGGAAAAATGGCAAGTGATCGATCAAGCATCACAGATCCAACTGAATTCCGATTCTTCGTTCCTTTGCAGTCACCTAAAAACGCGATTCTCAATTCCAATTGAGAAAAAAACGAAGGCGAATGAATACCGTAGGGAAGTTGGCACTCTGAGCCCATACGCTACCGTCATGGCCGATGATTGCAGCGGCAGTGAGGTGGTTGCCCTCAATGTCGCACATGAGGTGCTCGTCGACGTAAGTTTGCCACGACATTTTTTTTATACTAGAAAGAATCTCTCTGTCTTTGTGTTTCCTTTCTAGATCAGACAAACGGAAAGAATGGAAAATGGAGAATTGAGATCGATTTCTTAGCTTGCAACCACTTGGGGTCAAAGGCAAGAGGTTTATATATAGAACACTCGCCCTCTTATGATCGCAATATTAGTGAAGGGAGAGACTAAGGCGCGATGGAATGAGAAGGCTGAGAGGGGGTATGATTGAGTGCGGGCGAGGGGCATGATTGATGTAGTGGGGGAGTGAATAATGTCTGTTTATTCCAACATGATTAAATCAGTGTCGTTCACATTCTCCCATCAGCCCTTATTTTTCTGGGCTGAGATCAGGTGACTAAGGGGGTCCTCTTAGTCACATGGCTAGGTGAATCTCAGCCACTCAACCTCACTAGAATCCAAGGGCTCCTATTAGTCCAATTTAATGAAGGGTAATGTAGTAATTTCATATTTATTTTTAACTTTTAATTATAAAAGAAATAAAAAAAAGTTTGCTTCGTCCCGTCCCTTTGCGTCGCCTCCACGCGCCGCCTCCGGAGAATTTCCGTAGAAAGAATGGGCGCCATTATTCCATTCCCCCTGGCACCATTATTTCATTCCCCAGAGAGAGAGAGAGATTTTCTGGTCGAAATTTTTTTTTCCGGCGACAGGGCGCCATTATTCCATTCCCCCTGGCACCATTATTTCATTCCCCAGAGAGAGAGAGATTTTCTGGTCGAAATTTTTTTTTCCGGCGACAATTTTTCGACGACAGTGCTTTGTGATGTTTGTTGACAAATTTTGTAATGTTTGTACACTTTGTTATTTTGTAATGTTTGTAAACTTTGTTATTTTTGTCAACCATGTTTGTAATGCTTTTTATGTCTAAAAAACAACCCGGTTGACTTTTGGATGAAACTTCTCTATATAGGGATGAAGCCTCCAAAGTCGACCTGGGTGTTTTTTCAGTTCGTATGGATTGTCGGTCTAGTTTGTCATTTTTGTCCACCATATTCGTACTGTTTTGTATATCTAAAAAACACCCGGGTTGACTTTGGGAAGGAGCCCCTCTTTATAGGGATGGAGCCTCCAAAGTCAACCCGGTTGTTTTTTCTTTTTGTATGGTTTGTATTGTTTGTCGGTCTAGTTTGTATTGTTTGTACAGTTCATACGTTTGTAATGTTTGTGAATCTGTTTGTATGTTTTGTCGCTCTAGTTTGTATTGTTCGTATGTTTGTATGGTTTGTACTGATTGTAAATTCGATTTGTATACTTCGTAATTTTCCATAATACACAAACTACCCCTATCATTAATTAAATAGTCCTTCCCACTTTTTAACCATTGAATTGAAGTGTCCAGATCTAATGGCTAGGAGGGGCTTAGTCAAGCGACTAAGTAACCCTAGTCACGAGATCCGCTCTCTATTTTTCTTCCTCTTTCTTTCTCCCATTTTTGCCGTGTGGTTTGTTTTTAAGTTTTAACTATTTTCTCTCTCCCTTTCTCTCTCTCTCTCTCACTGTCCCTTCCATGCCAGTGGCAGAAACTCTAAATTGTAAAATGTGTGGTAAATGGAAAACAGGAAATATGAGACGTGGCAGGGACCCTTTACGGGAATAACATTTTCATTATTTATATGTAGCTTGGTCTCCTTAATCCACGTGTTGTTTTCTACGAATGGTCAACGAGAATAACATTTTGACACTAGGCCCGAACTCTGATGAGGTTACATTGTGAGCCTGAATTGATTCGCAACCCTATTACATTTTTTAGTATCCCCCAATTATATTTAAAATGTGTATTTTAATTATTTTTTATAAATAAGGGAGCTTTTATTTCATCAAATACCATCAGTACATTCTGGCATAGTGTTCCAAAAATTTTACAATCATCCCATCTTAATACTCTTACTACTACTGCTACACAAAACTAATTAAGTACAACATCAATGCTAACTACACGGCATAAATCTGGAACTTAAGGACCTTATTTCTGAAAACTAGTCGAACTGTTCCCTCCACACTTCACTAACCAACATAGTTTAAAAAAAAACTTCCTATTGGATGCTTCCCTATCTTCTGCAGTCCTTGACACCCTGAATCATGCAAGTGTTACCCTCAACAAGTGTTACCAACCTCACTTGAAAAAGACAACCATCCATAAGTGACTTTGTATTGCATTGTCTTTTTTTCCCCCTAGATCTGGGACATATATCTTTCTCTTATATCTACAATGGCAATGAAGATATATTCGGGGGCTACAGTTCATCATAGTTTCCTTTTAATGATGCATTCATCAAAAAGAACAGACGATCTTTTTCAATCTCTTTCGCAACTTCTATAGTGTCCATCCATGGGTTACATATTTTATTTACTGGCAAATGGAGTTTAATCAACTTTGTCTCTCTTATCTTCTGGATCTCCCTAAAATTAAGAAAAAAATTCATATTATTAGTGATTGTAAATTGTAACTTTTTGAGATAGATTTGACAATGGTTGTTATAACTTGAATTCTTCTAATTTGGTATGGGTTGAGTCTTAGGTAAGTTTCAAGACACTTTTGATGACTTCCTTGAAAATCTAGTCAAATTAAATTAGGTATTGAGTTGTAAAACGCGTTAGGCTCAGTTACTAAATTGTCACTTCTCAAGATAAATTTGACAATATTTGTTGTACTTTAAATTCTTCTAATTTTATGTGTTTTTTAGGTAAGATTCAAGACACTTTTGATGACTTATTTACAAAACTTATAAAATGAAGGTATCGAGTTGTAAAATACGTTAATTCATATACTAAATTGTAACTATTTTAGATATATTAGCGTTAATAAATATTCATCACCCTAACGTAAATTAAAATTCAATGCCTTTTGAACAACAAGTGATCATGTTAAGAATGCCTAGCTATCATGAACTAATACATTCATTACTGCGTGAACCCATTTTTGGTATAGGCATCTACGCGACATTGCTTTGTCGGGTATTCGTCCCTTGCAAAAACATCCCCACTGCTTCTTCCCGTAGGAGTCTTGGTCGTGCCTCATATTTGAATATTTTACTAACAACGTATTATTATCTTAAAAAATTATAACTAAATTATCAATATAAACTATTCCTCATCCCAACAAAATCAATAATTCAACAATTTTTTCATAACAATAGTTGAGCATACTAACAATTACTAGTCGACTTTCTAACAATAACTAATTCAATATATTTCTAAAATATTAATTTTAGTTCAATAATCATGTTACTCATTTTTTTTGTAGGAATGTTACTCGTTGTGTTTCAATGTGTTTCAGAGTCTAACAGCTGAAACCAACCACGGAGTAGAAAGTTGGAAGAAAAGGAGCGAAGATCGGGCAAGAGGAGGATTTAGCCAGAGTTCGCGATCCAACATTGGAGTACACAGTCGCCAGGACCGTGAACTGGAACCACAAACCGTGAACTACGAAGCGTCCAAAGGGGTTTTCTGAGGTTACTGACGCCAAGGCAGTTCACGGTCGCTAAGACCATGAATTGGAACCACAAACCATGAACCCCAAAAGTGAAGCGGTGCGTTTTGAGCAAGCTCACTGAGTTCACTGACGCGTTCTGATGTTCACGGCTGCGAACTGGGCACGATCTGGGTATAAATGGAGAGCTGAAAGGAAGAAAGGAGAGCTCAAAGTGAGAGAAACCTTCTTCTTCTTGAAACCCTAGAGAGAGGAAGTCACGAACTAAGATGGAGAAGAGGCTAGGGTTTGCTCCAAGTGAATATTTTGGAAGTTCCTCTTCTTTGGAGGATCTCAACAAGCACAAGGAGAGTTGGAGGCATCACAATGATGGTTTCTTTCTTCCTCTTTTGTGTTCTTCCTTTGTCTAGCATGGAGTAGTTTCCCTTTTCACTTGGGTGTTGTAGAACCCTAACTACTATCATGTAATTGATTATGTGGATTGAAAGATTGTGTGCTGGTGGTGTTTAATTTAAGAATTGAGGAATTTTTCTTGGTTACTGTACATATTGTTTGCTTGGAAATCTATTGTGCTATTCTAACCTAGCTTAGAGAGAAGCCCCCTTATCTTAAGAGGCTCAAAATTGAGCTGGATTTTCTTAGGCATTCCATGCCTCCTAACTAGGTTAATGAAGGGCAAACCTCTACTTGAATTAGACACCTAGGTTAACAGTGATTATGCCGTCCAAGCCTTGGTTTGAGGGAGAAGGTTAGTCAACCCTCAATTTCTTGTGCCAAGGGGGCTACAATTGTAGCCTCTAATGCTTACCTTGGTATAGCAATTGAGAGGATGGTTTCTAACCATTGTTGCACCTCCTAGGGTCACAATTTCCTTGTCACACACCGGTTCATTCGATCCCACGGTTCATGATAATTATTTAGGGGGAAGCAACACCCAAGTGAAGCTTCTTACCAAGAGTTTTCCATCCTTTTACTTTTCAAAGTCCTGCTTTTAAATCGTAGATTGTAGAGATTTCATGTTGTACCAAGAAACAATCCGTCTTAGAGCATACTTGCCCTATATTTCACCCATATAAGGTTTATACTTGGCCCTTAGGTGGAATTTTATTGTGATAGTCGGAGCGAGTCAAACGCTCCGATTTCATGTTGTACCAATAAACAATCCGTTGTTTTCGGGTCCTCAGGCGAAGCGGAGGTCTTCACAGTCTTTATTTTCCTCTCCAACTCAGATCATATACCATTTACGAACACACCCCCTCAAACTCAAGCCACTCATATAGGCTTTCAGAGTGCACAGACACGGGTCCGGACACCATGTGCTTAACAAAAACAGATGGGAGTCACCGAGATTTGAACATAAGACCACTCACAAAAGGCTCTGATTCTATGATAATCGATCAAATAGAATATTGAAACGAAATATTGAAAATTACAACATGTTTACGTGGTATCCCCTGTTTCCCTGGAATAATCCACATAAGAGCTTGAAATTCTTCGGCTACTAATTTTAATGATATGGTGTTCTGATGATAGTGCAGAAAATAATGCAAAGCTAATATATGGCTGTCGAACCCTAGGATAGACAAGCTATAAGAAACAACGTCTATCAAATGGGTTGCATGGGTAGCATGGACGGATGACAGGGAGTGATTGCTCGACAGTTCTATCATGACCAGACACATTCTCAACACGTCACAATGTTGGACTCCAGATTACTACATCTCCGGACAAGCTGTGGTGGCTAAGCTCTATACAATAGTGGAGGGTGAACAAGGTGGTGTGTACGTGACCGCGGGACGGGTGACCAGTGGTGGCGATTTTTTGGCGGCTAGTAGAGATAGTGGCCGACGGAGATTGTGATTGGAGGTGTGTTTGGTAGAGAGTTTTGACATTTTTTAATTAAAATTTGTGCAATGGGTATATATAGTAATTGTTATTAGCATAAATTCTAAATTTTAGAGCTATAAAAAGGATGATGTAGGATTTCAAATATGGTACATCCAATGAGATTTGCTATTTAGACCATGAATTAGTTGGAGTATGGGGCTTGATACTATACTACTCTTACCTCTTATGGATGAACCTTAGTCCCTAATTCTATAAATCCAAACTATATGATTTATTTAATCTAAAAATAATAACCAATGATTTTGATTCATCGAAGTATATCGAAGTACTTATAATCAATTTGGTTCAAAGCTGTAGCTTTAGCTTAAAAGCTTATGCTTTTATGTTCCTGCCTACCCAAATATAGTATTTTCTTTGAAAAATCTTTTGAGCTTTATATAAGCTCTTTATAAGCTCTATAAGCGCATTAAAATCCTTATAAAATTAGCTTTTTAACTATTGGACTTATTTACGTTCTTACCTCCCCAAATATAGTATTTTTCTTTAAAATATCTTGTAACACAATAAGCTTTATATAAGCTCTTTAGAAGTTCTATAAGTGCATTAAAATCCTTAAAAACTAGCTTTTTAACGATTGGACCTATTGAATAGCTCCGACAATCAATGGATTGGTCAAGTGGTGTTCTGGGTAAGAAGTATAAAGTGATCATGTAATGGTTGGAATTGAAATTAATCCTCTTCTTATGGTTGATGATGAGAATAGTTTAGGGCAACATATCGTTAGTGACAGTGAAGACTATGAATATTGTAGTGATGATGATGATGTGACTTGGATGCAAATTTTGATGTTAATGCCCCAATGCACTCTTAAATTCTCGATCAAGAACCTTTGGTTGCGTCGATGTCCAGAATTTGGAGATTAGGGTTGTTTATGTGTTATGTTGCATGCTAGAGTGTGGTTTCAACTTGTTTTCAATGTTTATGAATTTCTTATTATGATTTTGACTTTACTATAATTAAATAGTTTTCTAACTTCTTTATGTATATGAATAATGACATTTCATAGCTATTGGAAGTTTTTTGGTGTTTATATCTAACAAAATATAGGTTGCAATCGGGAGATTTATGATAATTTTTATGATTCGTATAAACTCACGATTTTACGCTTTCCTTTTATACTTAAATTTCTACCCATCATTTCGTTTATACATAAAAACTACAATTCAACTACATTGTATGTAATAAGTATGAACGCATGTGCTCTGACAAAATGAGTTCATACACTATATAAAAGACATTCATTAGTGATGGAACTCTAATACTAGCCTTATGACATTGAATTTCAAATTAATATTAGTAGGTCTATTCTAATATGATGATACAAGTCATATAGCATATGATCACAACTAATTAATGCATTAGTCTAAACCTTAAATTGTGAACTCCAAATACTATATTATAAATCCTATCACTAAATTTCTAAACCAAAACCCTCAAAATCAAAGTAAATCTTAAATTTTTTATGCAAATTCAAGCATTTTCTTGTCCATCATATCATACATGACAATCGATATTGTTTTGATATGAATTGCTTGCTTATATGATGATTATGAGGTATGCACACCTAGTGTATAACATATGTACATGTTTACACCTATTCGATGTGTTTTGAAATACACGTAGAACCATCTATATATGGTTCCTTCTTTCGTATAGAGGATAAATCTAGGGTATCGCATTACCCTTGATAAGAAAACGCTATCTATACCTCGAACTAACCGGATTTTGAGGCATAATATTATACTCTAATCCTGGTATAGGGTGTCAACTAGTGCTAGCTACACGGTTATGGAAGTTGGTAAATTATAGTTAGTATATTTCTACTATCATGTATACAACCATTATACACTGATATATTCATACAGCTATGAATACACTTTCACACCACCGTGGTATAATCTTTTGTGTTACCAAACATTACCACCATGTTATGGACTGGTTATATATGTCTCAATCTTTTTGTTCCTAAATATATCAAAGTGGATGACTTCATGAAGAATACAATTAATCTGATTTATCTATGCAATAAAAAATTAAGACTTAAAATGAATGTTAAAATTAATTAGGACAACCATTAGTTGACTTTTATAAATGATAAAGTATATATATGATTATGCATGGTTATTGACATATAAGTTATTGATGGAATCTGCTCTCAAAATAACGGATACAGATAAGATATTAATTGGGAGATCCACTAGTCTTAAGCACAAACCCCTTAATAAACAATATTATCCCTTTAATATCACATCATCATGACATAGTAATAATATATAATACACCAGTACATGTGATTAATTAATTTCACAGATGGTTCTCCCTTATGATTATTAATCAGAATCATACGTATTGAACGACAACACAGAAGACAGCTTATTAATTTGGTACCCATGAGTGGACATCACCAATTTTATCAAACGGGTTCAATTAAACTCTTTTCCACCACCAGCACCATTAATATTTTGACAGAACATACAATTTGGTTTCGTTAAGCTAGCTAATGTAGTACATTGGGTCAGGGAGTTTGAAGGTACGGAGGCCCGTGCTGTTGCCCAACAGATCACTCCACTGATCTCCCATATTCCCTACGATCCTAAACCCTTTCTTCTCCAACTTCCCTCTTTCACTCGACTTGTACTTCACCGCCGTGCTCCCCGAATACGACGACGTTCTGCAAACAAAAACGACAAAAAAAAAAAAAAAAAAATTGGTTGTTGTTGTTAGCAAATTCAATGAGTACTGGAGAGAGTGCAGAATTAGTAGTACGTACTTGAGAATGAGCTTTTCCCAAGTGTAGTAGCCTGCATTTTTGAGGTTGGTCTCTGTAACAGATCTTTGATCTTCAGTTCTCCCAGTTAGGAACACAACCTTTATCCCCAATGACACTATTTTCTGGTAGAGTGTGAGGGATTCTGGCAGCACCAATGCATTCCCCTCCAATACCCATTCGTTGAATGGAGTTGGATCGAACGGCTCCGCCCTTTGATCCATATCCAAAATTAGTTAGATACTCATCATACCAACAAAGATAGCTATGAGGAACGCTCGTAATTTATTAAGATTTGGAGCCCGGCGAAATGTAGCGGTTAATAATTAACATAATATCATAATCTTCGGAGGAAGAAGCAGCAGCATTTGATTCTAGACTCCTTATCAGCTTGTATAGAGTTTAGGGTGGTTCTCAGGGTTGCCAACAGTGCTGTCCATAGAAGGACGCGTAAGGCACTGCTTTTGTCTTTCCTAGAACTAAAGTCTTTTGATTTTCTAGGGTGGTTTCATTAGGAGTTCGTTTGTTATGTGTTCCTGAGTAGATTTATATTATAACTCTTGTCCTCTCTTGTTATCACTCGAAAATAAATAAAAATACCAGCGTTTGTTTCCAACTAATGGAATAACTAAATATTTTATTTAGCATAATGTATGAGACATGCATGTGAGCTCTTTTACAAATTGAACTTGCATCATTACATTAAAGGTGGTACAAATTAGTTTGTATCATGAAAGAATTTGTACTTTTATGTTATGTTAAACGTTCATTTTGTATCATAACATAAAGATACAAAATCAATTTGTACAATAAATAATTTTTTTAAATTAAAGTATCAACACTATAAAATATTGTAAAATTTCTCAATGCTAACTCTATTTTATTTTACATAAGTCTTTCGCCCAAAATTATATATTGTTTCAAATCTCTTAACTAACACGATTAAAAAAGAAAAATATTCAAAATTTGTCTGTCATAAAAAGGTGACTTGGAAGATGTTGGTGCATGCACAATCCAGAAGACCGGGCAATAAACAATAAAATTATAGACTAGCTAGGGAGCAATAATTGAGTAATATACTAATAATAATATCTTCCATTTTTTCACCTTCTTTCCGGCAAGACTATTATATGTCGATAAGTCAAAAAATAAGAGAGAAAGGGAAACATCTCTCCTTCACCCTGAAGTTGGCATAATCAAACTGTACTCGTTATTGCCAAATGATTATTGAGGAAGCGGTTACCCTTACCCGAATCCATGCTTGGCATAGTAAGGCAAATTGGATAGCGTAGTCTCGTCTACGTCAAACACCCACACATCCTTGCCGTCTCCGGCGAGGTCGAGCCCGGCGGCGTAGACAAGAGCCTCACCGGCCACCACTCTCGAGTCGCTCCGGTACTGTTCTCCCAACATGTAATTACCCATATACCCTTCACACTCCTGCGGGATGGTTTTCCACCCAATCAAATTGTTGGTCTCCACGCCAAGCCTCCAACTCAGGCAGGACAGGCCGGCGACATGGTCGCCGGAGGAGCCCGACCGCGGCCTTAGCGGGTGGATCTCGCTTGGCAGCTCCAGTAGCAGTAGAGAGCCATGGCAGGTTGAAACCAGAAATGCTGCTGAAAGGAGAAGCGACAAAACCATTTTCAGGCGGATTGCCATATCTGTGAAGACAAGAGAGGGTGCAATTTTAGTGAGGGATGGATGATTTACTTATAGCTTGATCAGGTTGTGTGGGTTGTTAAGATAAGAGGTCTACAAATGCTTGGTGGCCGGGCCGGTCATCATCTAGCTAGCTAGTCCTGGTCCGCTCAGTCGATCTTTCTTTGTCTAGCCGGCTGGGTTCCAACATGGGCGGCTGTTATTTTTCAATCAATTTACTAAACGCATGTTACATATGCAACGTGGTCCTGTCCTCTAAGGTTGTTGTCTTTTAATGATGAAAACGACGTATGTATTAGTTTAAGAAGCCTACCTAATTGTTTTGATAAGCGGAGATCTCTATGTAACATTTCGATTTGTTTTTAGCTTAATTACGGACTTGGAGTCTTGGACTTCATAGTTGCCTTCCCGCACGCTATGGCATGATATTGGGGGAGGTGCGGATGGCTTAGAATAGGGTGAGCAATCATTGGTTACTAATCTATTAGTAATTAAATTTGGATCTTTAGATTTAAGCGGGTCCAGGAAATCCAAATGTAAGGGTTGTCAATAAAAGACATTTTATTTTCCCTAGTTTTCAAAATCGGCTCATATCTTCTTCGTTTTAACTCGGATTTCAATTTTTTTTGCACACATGGAATGAGTTCGTTGTGCTCTACAAAATGAGATCAATTTTCAATATATTTCGAGAAACTTTTTTTTTACCAACTACATACCATATGGTAACTTCTTCGTTTTTAAGTCGTTTTGGAAAACGTTTGCTCAGAAGGAACGAGTTCATCATGATCTATTGGATCTACAAATTTCTCGGTGAAAAAATACTAGAAAAAAATTACCATACTTTACCACTATAGTATGTGGGTGGTAACTTATGGTAAACAATGATGAAAGTCGTAAATGACCGTTAGTATACTCCTACTATCATGTATTCAACCTTCTTACCATATTGGTATGTTCATACCATCATGGTACGTTTTCTTACCATATAGTATTAAATATGAGCATACCATATGGTAATGATTGGTAAAAAATTATTCACTTTTTTTGTACTATAAATATATCAAAGTGGATATCATTTTAAAGAGCACATTTAATCTGATTTATGTGTGCAAAAAAATTTAAATTTCGACTTAAAACGAGAGAGAAATCGTCCGTTAAAGATTAAAGGGGAAAAGATAAAAGACTTTCCACGAGAGAGGAGATGCTGATGTCATGCGGATGTGGACAGTAATTACTGATGGTTACTCACCATAAGGGTTATTGACTTGATCCGCTCCTTGATATATTCAATGTATTTGAGTTTTTTTTTTTTTTGTGTTTCTCTTTGTTCACAATTTTCGAGTACAATTATAAATGATTAGCAATGGCCTGCTCGCTAACGCTGCGTGTGATCGAGAAGAGAATATCAAATAGAAAAGAGCACATATTTATTACAAATGGTTAATAGAGGATGATAATGATAGTAATAATAGAGGGCAAACTAACGTCTAAAGTTCAGTTTATCACTTGTACAAAACACAGAATAGTATACTGATAAGTTCATACAAAAATAGATGGAGCCGATTTTGCGGATACTCTTATTTAGCTTCTAAGCAAGCCATCTGCAGTCCCTGAAAGACACAAAGTTAAATAAACAATTGCAAAATCGTGAATACGGAACAACATTAGAGAACATCTCGCAAACATGAAATAACAAGTTTAGTTTTAAGTGACACTTGAGTGATTAATAAAGATCTCTTACCCACCATCAACTCATCTAATACAAAGTCATCACAACCATAGTTTCCTATTGGTTGGAGACTATTGTTGTTACAATAACAACACAATGGGTGTTGTCATAGTAACCGGTCCCCTTGCGGATATTCTTACCCACTAAATCTCCAGAATGGCTCCCTCTGCCTTCTATGCTTTGAACGCTGAAATTTTCCCTCCCATGCCTTCATATTAGCCTTCCATACCCACCTCCTAGCTAGACACCTTTCCCTTCTCTGTGGGCACTCTCTATGAAATCTCAGGTCTTCTCGTCGTTGTCCTCGCACCCAACACGGACTTGGCGGATTTAGGTTTCCGATGGAGACCATGCCTAGTATCTAACCTTCCTACCATCGGTGAGTTTCTATCTCTACCCTCATTGTTGGCTTCACTACCTGGGATTCAGCCAGTGAGCTAGAGCTGGAATTCAACCAGAAAGCTTCGTAGAGGGAGGCATATTTCGGCGCGACAGCAAACTGGGAAGACGAACTAAGAGGATGAAGGATGTTCTTTTGTGAGGGGAGAGTTCGGATTCCGCCTCCTCGTTGATGGAGTTAGAGAGGTGGTAGGAAGAGTTGGTAATCTACCAGGGTGGTCGTGGTTTCTTGGTATGATGACGGTGATGAAGAAAAAAGTGGAATTCCGCCAAAAGTGATTGTGGAGTGGGTAGAGCAAGAGGAGAACCAGGGAGAGCAAAAGAAGATAATGGGTGGCGTAGAACATGGAAAAGAAGCAGAGGAAGAAGAAAGGAAAAGACGTTTGTGTATGGAGAGGATAAGGTGGGATTGAGATTTGAGAGTATTGCAGAGGCGCGGGCTATTTTTCAGAAGGTAAAGAAAAAATCTTGGGGTTTTTTGTGAGCGAGTCGGGTAAAAATGTGGTGCTTCTTTCTGCGTGAGAGGGAAAGAACGGCACATGGGTCTATCAAGGCAAAACATTTGGGCCTCCACCAGTCGCAGCAAGGAGAGTGGGGGCACTAATGAACATTGCACACAACTTAGGCTTTTATATATCAATATATATCAATGTGGTTGTTGCCTACGGAACCTCATCAAATGTCATTGGTTACGATCGTTGTTGTGTATTCTTGTTTGACGTTATAATTTGAACGTTATCAATTTGTTCACCACTACAATACACTTGAACGCCCTTCGACAAATCTACTAGACAAAGGGAATTTCATATGGACAAAGGAGACTAAGATAGCCTTCGCAAAACTCAAGTGTGTCATGTAAATGAAACTCGCATTAACTATACGGATCAACAAGGCCTGTAACCAGAGTCTACATTGTTGCTCTTTGTTTTTTGGGCGATGCGCTCTGTTTGGCAGCCCCTGCATCTGGTTTTTTTGCTTCCTTTGTTCCCGTTCCTTTTTCCTGTTTCCCAGGTACTCACTCCTTGTGAGGTTTTTTTGGGGTTTTTGTGGTTTTCTTTTCAATGCAATCCTCACCATTATAAAAAAAAGATCGGATGGTTACGGTCAATTTAAAAGAGTACTATGATTCGGAGGCAGGAGGGCAGTTGGGAGTGGAACGAACCTTAATGAGAGTAATGTGTCCTATAAGGTTGTTATCTTTTAATGATGAAAACGACGTATGGATTAATTTGTTTGTGGAACCTGCCTAATTGTTTTGATCAGCGAAAATCTTTATGATACATTTGGATTTGTTTCGGCTTAATTAAGAAGTTGGTTCATGGCTGCCTTCCCGCTGGTGGCTATAGCATGATATGGAAGGTAAGCGGATCTTTTATTTTTTTAAGGATGGATGACCGTTTCATTAAAAATAACGAAACATAGTGTAAAGAGTTTAAAACACTAAAAGGAAGGACGGAAAACCAACAGAAATAGGGTTGAAACTAAAAGTGGAACAAACAAGGCCCAAGCACATGGACAAGCCCAACCCTCAGCAACCCTACAACCGATGGCCAGTCTCTGAGAACAAACAACCCTCAGAGACCATGCCGCCAACCTCCATTCTGCATTCAATGACAACCGACAGGGAACGGCAAAGGAAGCAAAGGAAAGCTCCAAGGCCCCAAACAACGCCGATTCCACCAGACCACCAACATGCAGACAAAAGGGAAAGCTGAAACCTCAATGAGGAGAACCAATCCCGAGACAGCTCCGAGCATCACCTGCACAAACAAGTCAGATACAAAGCAGATCTGGGGTTTGGACAAAGGAGAGGCGATCAGAGCACTGCGAATCTGAGCTATCGACAAGATTCAACCCCAACAGAGTCATCCCTGCTACAAGCCCGTTGAATCTTCATCCAAGACAGCCAGGGTCCAAGCATCTCCTAATTATCCCCATTTATGGATGAAGCGTATGGTGGTAGATGGAGGACTAGAGGGGAGCAAGCAAGATGACGAAACTCGGCCCCCTCAAACACCAACCAGATAGAAACATCCACACAAATTTGGGATCTGGTGAGGCGCAAAAGCATCTCCATGAGGAGATTAGAAAAACATCATCACAAATATGTAGGAAAACCAAAAGGGAAAGACAACAACATGGGAAGAATGTGGGAAGATTTGGATTGACGTTTATATTCGACATGAGGGAGATGAAAGGTGGAATGAGCTTGCAAGAAGATAACTTGAAGTTGTACTTAGTCTGATGTCCTTTCGTTGGTAAGAGTATTTCAATTTTCAACTACCTATATGTGTTTGAAATGTTTGGAGTTGAAATGAGCACATTTAACTGATTTAAGTATTAGTGTTTCTATTACAAGTTGAGTTTTTATCATTAAAAGTTTAGTTTGTACCATAAAATAATCATACAAAAATATATTGGTACAACCTAAACTTACACCATAACATTAATATGTACAAGTTCAATTTGTAACATAAAAGAATATGTATGGAAAGGTAAAGGCACAAACTAAATTTGTACCATTATTAGTATACTCGTATCGATGTCCGCGCTCTGCGTCAGGATAAGAATTATACTGAAGTTTACTCTAAGAAGCAAAACAATTTGATTTAATTTATGTCAAACATATATATGACCAAGTTTCTAAAACAAATTTGTCTAGAATTGTTATCATTGTATGCATATCCTCATCTGATGAGCTTTCTCATGAATGTGTTTAAATTGAACATTGAAGAAACAAATTTTGCAATTTTTGGTGTCTAACTTTATCGTAGAATAAGATTTGGCAAACAACAATGCATCTATCTATTTCTAAAAGGTATGCTCGGCATCTGTTTTTAAAAGTTCACAAACGACGGTTCAATTTCATATTTGTGAGCCCAATTTTTATATGGGCCAAGCAACCTGGAAAATAAATGGAACGACTGTCATTTTGTGAGCAAACAGGTTCTGGTTTCTCTTTTTCACTTTGGTGGATCAACTATTGCATTCCTAAAATTCCGGACGAAGAACATGGGAAGAACGCCAAGAACTATGACTCACTTCTACTGTCACCCTAGGAATTGGCCAAGTGTAACCACTTCCTAAAGCGTAGTATAGCGGGTTTAGGTTTAAATGTCAACCCGGGTCCTAGATTTGATGACTACTCGGTGAATTCTTGTTATCTAGCAATGAAACTTTAATGCAAGTCTAAACTAACAAAGCAAGTAAACTGTTGTATTCAGGTTAAGAGAGGTCACCCGGATATGGTTCCCCCTAGACTGCAGTTAAGCCGGATTGCAATTACCAAGTTCAGTTTCTATGATAGTTATACTGCGGAAGGTTCTTAAACAGCCTGAAGTCTCGACTAAAGGTCTTCAGACCCTCTCAATCTGAGTCTCTAGCGGGCGACTAACCTCCACCGGAGTAAACAGATTGAGGCCTTAACAAACAAAACCTCCACTACCGGAGTGAATCCGGTACAGAATAGTGAGTTGGCTCCTCGACGAAAGTCACCAACTCCCTACCTTCAATCAAGGATGCTCTATCAACCTAGGCAGATATTCTCATTCTAGGTTAAAGCAGAAACAACAGGAATTTGATCAGGATTCAAGTCATTCAATCATTCAAACCTCAATCGAATATAATCAAATCATAGAATCAGTACTTGGGTTCATACAATCAAAGCCTAACATACAAATCTAGGGTTCTACATACCCAGATGAATGGGAGAACTACTCCATGGAGAAAGAAGCAAAAGCAGAATCAGACGCGGAATTCATACTGTGAAGGATGGATTCCTGCTCCTGGACGTTGATCGGCACTTCTCCAAGCTCAAGCCAAGCTCCAATGGTGATGAAGATCAAGCTAGGGCACTTGGAGACTCTTGTTCGTCGCTTTCTCTCTCTAGGAATCGTTCTATCTCTCTAAAACTCGAATCCCCTTCTGTTTTGGCTGAAATCTGCTTAAAAGGGCATCAGTGGCCAAAGCACGTTCGAGGGCACGGCCGTGCTTTGCCTCAGCCCGCCCGTGCTTTGGCTAGGGTTAATTACACGGCCATTGTGTTGGGAGAAACACGGTCGTGCTTTTGGGAGGACACGGCCGTGCTTTGGTGGACACGGCCGTGCTTTCAGCCCGTGTTTGCAGCTTGAATTTGCCAAACTCAATTAGCTCTCGGCAGTAAAAGCACGGCCACAGAACACGGCCGTGTTCTGTTTTAGGTGTGCCCGTGTTTTGGCTCCAGCTCGACGAAATGACTTCCGAATGCCCCGAAACTCGTGCTTAGCCTTTCCTTTGACGCCTGGGACCTAAAATATGACAAAATAGCACAACCCGGCGTAAAATAGGCCAAAAATACACGACTATGCCCCTCAAACTGATAAGAACTAGGGGCGCAAATATGTGCAATTACATCGTTATCAAACTACCACTAAAATTCCAAAATTTAAAGCGAGACATGGTTTTTTTAGATTCTGGGGGTCCAAGTTGCAATTAGAAGATCATATGTCATGTAATCACTCTCAGAGTAGCCGACATGATTTATTACAAGCTCATAGTGTGCAAGGCCATAAAGATCCCAACTGTGACTTAGGGGCAAAATGCTAAAGGGCACTAATCTTTCAAAACATCTCACTAACATGTCGGGAAAAATTGATGATCTCATTTCTAGGGCATAAAATAAATTGTATATGGATACATGTAAATAATCAGCTGTAAGGATAAACATTTATTTACAACAAAAGGCAGTTGACCCATCAGTTTGTACAGGGTATAAGTCAAGAACACACATATTATTTATATCATCACAAAGCACAATAAGTTTATCATCTATAAGACCACAGATGAATAAAATTTTTGTTATCTTAGATAAACATCACACAGGGTGGGGGCATTGTGCAAGTCATCTTAATGTTGCTCCAAATAGCTAAGGACTTATTTCATTATATTTTTATCTGAGTCTGACATGAAATAATAAAAACATGTACTTCATCATGTTTGGGTGCACTGGCCCTGGCTGCACATCGTTGGATACCTAAAATCTGCAATTCAGTAGAGCGAAGATGATTAACATGTATGAAAATTATTCTTATAGGAGACAAAGGAAGGTAGCAATCTGCTTTGCTAAACAAAGATACTTACAGATGTGTTGTTGTATGCTGCTGTCTTCGTGTACTTACAAAATCCTGATCTAATTTGCCATGTTCTAATAACCACAAACATATGACAGATTCTACCATGCACCATGCCTGACCAAAAGTGATTCATGCCTATAGATTACAGACACTAGAACTGAGTGATACATCTATGATTGTTCGGTATAAACAGGTGGTGAATTAAAGAACTCGACAGGTGTACCTGAAGGACTATCGTACGATTTCAGCAAATGCTTTCGTGTAAACAATATTTCTTGTGTAGTCATTAGGGATATTAGACTAGTTATTTATGAGTATCCTTAACCCCCTAGCTGATCTGGATCTTGAAACTCCAACATATAGTTGGCCATGATTAAACACAGGTTTAGGAAAATATATCCAAATTCTCAAGAGTCTGCCCCTGACTCTTATTTATGGTCATTCCACTACATAAACGAACTGGGAACTGATGCCTTTTAAGAATGAATGGCCACCTGAAATTTTCCACATTAAGCACGATCCTTGGAATAATAACTTCATCAGTATCGTTGTATCCTTCCATGATGTTTCCCTTGATGACATTATCACCCAACAACGTAATCATAATTTGCGTGCATTGTATCGGCCAAGGGAGGAATTCAAGTTTCTGAGTAGCATTACTGGAGTGTGATTTTTCAAAGTAAGTTCATGATCGGGAACTCCATTGAATTTCAATGTGTTGAGGAACTCAGTTGGGTAGCATTCGTCGAATGATTCAGATGTGTTAGTCGACTGAAGTAATGAATCCAAACTGTAGTATGTCTTGGTGGCACCCGGAACCTATAGTAACATATGGTTGTTGAGTTCAGACATTGTTGCATTCGTTGCAGTCACAATCTCTCTGTTTGCAAAGTATGATAGCCTTCTATAATTCTCAACAAATGATTCATAGATTTCAGTTGCTATAGATTCGATGGGATTGTTCCCATGCTGAACCAAGAAAACCTGTGGAATCTTCACCCAATCTGCTGAGTGTCTTCCTTTAATGATCTTCGCTTGAGGTGGCCATCTCCAAGCAAGAACCCATTCCAGGAATGTGTATCCATGAATATATTGTTCTTTATTTGGAAAAGCTTATGTGATGCGCATGTTCCTAGATAGTTTGAACACACCAAACGAATTCCACAACATGGATCTTGTAAGAGACCCATTGACTATTTGCTCTCGACCAGCCTCGGTTATAATTGGCAAAGTTTAGCGAAAATCACCTCCGAAAAGAACAGTTTTGCCTCCGAAAGACTTGTAGTGTGGTACATTCAATGGAACATCCATCACATCACACAAACCACGATCAACAGCCTCAAAAGCCTACTTATGTGTCATCGATGCCTTGTCCCATATTATCAAAGAAGCATTTTGAAACAATTCAACTAAAAGAGTACCTTTCTTTATTGTGTAGATGGATGTTGCATCAAGATTGAGAGGTATCTTGAACCTAGAATGCGATGTGGTTGCCTTAGGTAAGAGGGTTGCTGCAATTCCAGATGAAACAACCAAGATGACAATCTTTGATAGACCGCTGAGTCTTGATGTGATCGCGTCGTACAGGAACGTTCTGCCTATCCCACCATGGCCATATAAGAAAAAATTTCCCCCTATGTTATTATGAACTGAATTAATGACATCATAGTAGACGTGGAGTTGCTCTGCATTAAGGGAATGCAACATTTTGTCTCCCAAAGCCTATTGTTGTTCCACATGAAAAGTTGAATTGGTCATTTATTAATGGGTTAGTTCCATCATCGGCGACACCATCGTTGGGAAGAGGGAGATTAAAATCTTCAAGAGATGCAGAATGAACAGTGAGAAGGTGTTTGAGATGATGTACAACCCAGTTATGCGGTCTTTCATCAGTTTCTCTGTGAACTCCTGCAGGATTACCACTAGTGACACTATAGGTATAGTCATCTGCCACGGAGCGACATCCAAATTAAAAAATGACAGAAGATGGGGGATCTGGTAGAACATCAACCTCGAAACAAAAGTGGTACAAATTAATATTGGCATGCTAGAAGCAGAAACCTCGGCAAGAACCTTTATCCACTCCGATGAGTCAGCTAGGAGGCCCAACCTATCGCAAGCTTTTTCAAAGTCAACACAGATTTCACCCCCAATAGTTCTCAGGTGAGAATAGCTCATTGCTCCATGTACCTTTGTCAACATGATACGCAAGAAAAAGACATCTCCCGAACCTGGTGGAACATATGCAACTCGTACAATAGCAAACCCTCTCTTTTGGGGAGCCCATTTTTACAATCACCGAGCCATGAATATTCATTTGGGATCTGTGAATAGGTCAGCCTTCTTGAAGCAAAGCATTCAATGATATGCATTTTCCTAGCATTTGGATTTTGAAAGACATTACGAACATTTGATTGTTTCTTGTATGACATTTTCTGCTGTCCATCCAAATGCACTCCTAGGCGTACAACTGTTGGTTCTCGAAGATGTATTGGGTACTCATTCAACCTCCATACGGCCTCATATGATGACAATGACCTGCAATCTATAAATTTTTGAATCTCGTCTCTTCGTCTAATTGGTTGTGTTGCTGGATCACTTTGGGAAGCCTCCAAGTTCTCAACAATTACCAAAGACCTTATAGGCCCTTTAGATACCTGTAAAGCCCCAATTTCTCGGGGTAGACTAGGGATTATGGATTTAGCGGCTTTTAATAGAGCAATGTAGGGGAAGTGGTTATGGCACTTCGCCACGGAGAGGGACAGTTGGTGGAGGGAATTGATTTCCTGTAAATATTCGCATCAGCATTCGGAGTGGGGTTCCATGAGAAGCAGGCAAGGTTTTTCAGGGTCGGTTTGGGCAAATATCTCTAAGGAGTATGATAATTTTTGGCGAATGACTAGTATTGATCCCGGTAATGGCAGTTGGGTTTCTTTTTGGCATGATTGTTGGATCTCAGGTGTTGTGCTCGCAGAGTCTTTCCCAAGGGTTGCTGCCGCCTTTTGCTTCCCGAATGCCAGGGTCTCTGACGCCATTGCCCTCGCAGGTGAGAGTGTTTCCTGGTCTGTTCCTTTGATTACTATTCTTAGAGGGGGGGGGGCTGAGAGAGAAAGGATTGCTCTTATGGATCTTCTTAATTCTTTGGGCTCCTCCCGTGTGACTAACGGGCCTCCTAGGCCGATTTGGCTCCCATGTCCGGAAGGGTCCTTTTCTGTTCGTTCTATGTACAGGTACTTGACTGACGAGGAGCACATTGGTATTCCCGAGTTTCCGTTTGAGTCTGTTTGGCGGCACTTCATCCCTACAAAGATCTGTTTCTTTGTTTGGTTAGTGGCCCACAAACGGATTCTCACTTTGGACAATCTCAAGGCAAGAGGCTGGTATCTTGCCAACAGGTGCGAGATTTGCGGTCTGGACGAGGAAGACATCAACCACATCTTCTCCTTTTGTCATTTCACCAAGGAGGTGTGGAGCAGATTGAAGAGGGCTTGCGGCTCCATTGAGCTCCCCATTAGCAACATTATAACTATCATTAGTAGTTGGCCTACTCGCTCTGATGGTAGTGTGGAGGGTTGGTTCCTTTTCAGGGTGCTCCATGCGGCATGCTGGCAGATTTGGCTTAAGAGGAATAGGATAATTTTCCAGGGTAGTCGTCTGCACCCTAGAGCTGTTGCACGCAAAGTTATAAGAGAAGATGTTGAGTGGGAAATTGCTTTTGGCAAGGTTAACAAGGAACAAGGTCTGCAGTGGATCGAGTTTAAGCTCCAGAGTACTTAGCTTGTCATGTGCTTTGGATGTTGCTGCTTCTGGTTTTTGGTGGCTGCTTTGAGTATCTATTTTTGGCGGTTGTGGCGTTGCTGGTTTGCTGGCTTTTAGTTCAGTTCGGTTTCCCTCGGCTAGTTTTGATTGGGAGTTGGCTGGTGGCTGTTGTCTATGTGCTAGCGAGAATGGTTTGGCCCATTTGGCTAGCAGGGTGGCCATGTTCTCTGCCTTTCTGCAGATGGTTCTTCTTTCGTTTTTTTCCCCCTTTCTTCTTCCTTTCTGTCTGCGTGTCCTTTTCGCTTCTTTTGTTTCTTTTTTTTTTCTTGTTTTGGATTTCCTGGTGGTTTGGCTCGTCCTCTTGTGAGCCTCTGATCACCTTTCTCTCTGTACATTCTTTTATCTACTTTCAATGCAACTCAATCAATATTATAAAAAAATATATTTGAAAAGATACTTTATGAGTTTTCCTTTGTGACATAATTCCACATTGATGTGAGCTTGCATCCTGGCTAATAGATTTGGGTTGTATGGGACAACATGTCGATTATCCAATATGGCATTTACCTTCTGCACATATATCCTAGAGTCTGTTCTCTTGTAAACAACGTTACCAAAGATGTCATATGTGGTTGATGAATTGAATTCTTTAGGGAAACGCTTGGAGCATCTACCTTTTGATTATGCTTTCTTATCTTTAATACATGGTGCACCTTTATTAGCATGACCGCAAAGTCCATGAAGCATATATTTAACTTAACAACAGTCACATATCCCACCGGATCCAATTCAGGGTTTGGTATGAGATGCTCTTGATACCAGCATTGGCTTGTCAGAACTGTTAGGCTTGACAGTTGAATCAAAAGCCTTAACAATCTCATCCCATAAGAAATTGCACATGAAGGTTATAAACCGATTTGGGTTCCAAAAATACTCAACTACATCCATGGCATCGTGGTATAGCTGTTGCATATACTTGGGGCTGCCTATGTAGGTTCCGGGCAGAATTATATGTCCACCCTTGTTGTCGTCAAGATCACCTCGTGCCATAGCATCCTGCAAACCCTGATATACCTCTTTTCTAAGCCTTGGCTGGTGAAAGCATAAATAAGCTAATCTGTTGTAGTGCTTTTCCAGCTGTAATCAACATGTGCCCTTGATTTGCTCGATATTGTATTCTAAAAACATAGTACTCATGTTGAGTCACGAACTGTCTTCGCATGGAGGGAGGACAGAATGATGGTTTATACTTTATCAGAGGATGATAACCATCTTCTCCATATGGAAACAACAAAGGAAAGTGCAGAGCATCAAACTTAGGATCAAGACTTGTAATACGCTTCAAAACGTTGTATATGTGGTCAACGATTATATCCCTGTCATCTTTGTCTAGAACAAAATCACCTAGTATGAGAGCTGCATTGACGGTACTTGTTGGTAAATCATATTGCATGTTTCTACTCTTTGCGCCAAAAATACGGAGCTTCAAATTTGGAGTATTTAGCCCATGCAACTGTTGTCAAACTCGCCTAAATGTCTTGACCAATTCGTTGTGCTGGTCTAACATCTGAAGCAAAGAAGTAAGCAGTTCCGGCAGCAAGGTGGAATCACGAGAGGCAAAGTTTGACAAATGAATGTCAAGCTCGTTCTCGGGCTCGGATATATAAAGCTGAGAAAATTTTGGCCTCTCTCGTCAGGTAGCAGCAAAGATCCATTTTGTGATAGTACTCGCCACATATAACCATGGAATATGGACCTCTACTTGATAGCAACATGGGGTCTATGGTAGCACAAAATAAGAGAAGCAGAGTGAGCCGTTGTATTGGCGGATGTTGTCCAAAAAATGCTTGGACATGGCAAACAATTAAACTGAAGCAATTCATCTAATAGAGGTGGTGGTTGCCTCAAGAGTGGTAGAGAAACACTACCCTTCTGACACCATGAAGCATAGATCGGGTTGTTTGTATTTTGACGTCAATCAAGCCTTTCCATATACCAAACCATGGCGCCACAGAACTTTCAAACGCATACTGGCAAAACTATGTTTAGCATGTCAGTAAGCAATGGCATTCTTGCCGGAGGAACTTGTCTGCCACCCTTTTCTAACTTGGTATAAGCAGTTGCTCGGCATGCACATGGGAATAAGGATCCCGATGCTGTTGATCATGACTCGAGTGGGCAGTGGCAGGGTTCGAGCCTAATCCTAATTCACCTGAAGAAGTCTGGTTTGAGGATGGATTTCTGGTCTTCTTTGTTTTGATAATATTGTAATGATATTTTCTTTTGCATGGAGGCATGTCTGCGCAAAACTAAAGAATTAATGGTTGTTTAGTGGACATTGATTAACCGTTGAATTTTTTACCAAACAAAGAAAGAAAAATTGCTTCTGAAACACAGACAAATTAAATGCAGAATAAACATGATGTTTCCATGCACACAAAAGAAAGAGTCGCATGCATACCCCAAAAGTACATAAGCATCAAATGATCAGTTGGCAACTGGAGGTTTGGTACCTATATGAGTTAACTGGCAATCATTGAGCAAAATGTACCTGGTCAGATTTGAGCAGTATCAACACCACTGCAACAATCAATGCAGCTCCAAGGGGGTATAAATATAGCAACTGTTGGCGGGTAGAGTAGTACTACAAAATCAAAGTTAGTTTGAGCCTTTGTTGTATTAAGTCAGAGAAAGTGAGTAGTGAATTTGAGTGATAAACATGTTTCTCTTACTACAGTAGTTAAGTAAGAATAACAAAATTGAAGGGAACAAATATCTACATATAAATAATATTTATGTAAGGGTGGAGTTGGGGACTAATCAATCACAAAACATCTTCTATGAGTTAAATTACTGTGCACCTCGAGTTTGCATTAATGGCAAGGGTGTGAGATTAGACACAAAAAATTGGAAATACATCTATCTGCAACAACCAGGGGAAAAAGTACAATCATTGTTATCAAATGTGCATTTAGTGACTACAGTTGCCACCTGCTAGTTCAATTCACACATACATCATGAGAGAAGGTCATTAGTAATATTCTAAGAAAAATCTGCAGCTCAAACAATAGGAAAATGCCCTGGTTACTTGGTGATGCAATGAGGCATTGGTGACAAAATCCTAAAATCAAGCATCAGCAAAAAAATGGTTTCTTGTTTCGATTCTAACTGGTCAGAAAGGGTTGCATAATCGTGTATATTGTTTGAAGAAGGGCTTGTAGATAATTGCAAACAATTAACCGACAAAACTTATGGAGTTGGGAATTCGTGAATAGATGAACGAAACATATTTTTGGAAATAACATACAGAGCAACCATTTGGATTGAATTCTGGGTAAAGAAGAGTGGCATTGGAGAGTCAAGAGGGAACATAATTATGGGTTAACAACATTCCCCATATACACTGCTCTAAAGTATGCGCAGAACAAAGAGTCGGATCACAAATAAACTGATAGAAACCACCTGATTTATAGACAAAGTGCCTAGGGACATGAAAAGGGACAACATACAAAAAACAAAGAGCGATCCTAATTCTATACAGCCTGCAAGCACAACATTGTCAAAGTTTGAGACTCAAAAGACAACTACATGATCCAATGAAACAGGTATGAGCAGCAGTCTAGTAACCATAAAAAACCCACCCTCTTTCCCATGAACATGCTGGCCAAAAGCTCTCCTGCCTATATCCTTCGAGAAGTAACTCCTTCCTAGCTGAGGGGAGCATTCCAGATAAGACTTGACACCCACAAAGGAATAAAAGAACCACACGACAACGATCAGGAAAATGCAGAAATCTCAGATGGGCAGGGTATACATAACACTAACCAATGATAACAACCGGGCAATGAGCATTACTGAGATACTCAATCTTTGAACAAATTGCTTTTTACCACAGGTTCCTCTTCGTTCCTTGATGCCGACCTGGCACCACTGTTGATGGTAAATGGCAGCGGGGCATCAAAGCCCCTTGAAACTGGAACATCAAATACATCCAATTTCTCGACTTTGATTTTTGCCAAAGGAGAGCTCGGCCTGGAAAAATAACAAAAGTTGAATTGGTGAGGATATAGGGAAACATCAATCTACCAAAATTGGAAAAATGTATCCTATCTTACAATGCTGCTTAAGGGGAATCAACTGCAGGCGTAAGGGCCTTTCTAGGAGACGATTCGGCACCTAGCTTCTGGATCTTGGACACCTCTGCAGAAGAGTCCACATGACCATCTACAGGAGATGCATACTCCTCTATCTTGGTTGCTTGTTTAGGAGTGGTCGGGCTGGCCATAACGGGCGAAGTATGATGGGGTGCGAGGACATGAGTTGTGATCCCTACAAGGATGGCTATTCCTGGCAATATTGGTGCTTGGAAGGGCACACCTCCGTATTTCAAACTACAGAGAGTAAATAGGAAGTTAGAATAACTAACCACAAACTATGAAAAATATAAAAGAAGACGATGAGTAGCTAAGGAGATTTCATGTGGTCGAGCATCAATGCACAATGCAGCTTTTGGGGTCTCAACGGGCGGAAAGTCTGATATACCTTCGCCTTGACTTTTGTAGCACGTGATAGCCTGCACCAAAACATATTACATAGGCAAAGTACATGAAAAACATATGCAAAAACAGTCATCCAAGCAAACCCAGTGGCAATAACCAATAAAACCTTGATGAGTCTGGCTCAACTTCCACAGAGATAGTAACTTGCGATTCTATCGACGGAATGTCAAGGAGTAGGAGCGGGTTCTGGATTGGAGCAGGCGCTAGCGGCTGAGGGTAATTTTTCGGCAAGTTTCCAGCCACGGCAGGTTCATTGAGTGGGATAACTTGTGTAACATGAAACTCTCCTAAAGTGAGACCCGTTGTAGTAGGGAGTGGCAACTTGCAATCTAGCTTCACATGCTGGCCATGGAGTTGGGTTCTACTGAGGCGGGAGCTGGTATGGGCAAAAAGGGAAGCGCTGCACCAAGTAAGCTGCTGAAACATTCACCAATGCATGGCCACACTCAACTATGAATATGAACTGACCATCAGAAGTGTCGTCCCTAAGTGTCATCTGTATCTTGCAGCTATACAAAACAAAATGACAGCCGAAATAAGTAATAAACAACAGGAACATGCACAACAAAATAGATGATTTAACTACGAACCAAACACGGGTATGATCTTCGCGAAGCTGCCAATCCTTGGAACACCAAAAGGTTTCATCACAGCGCCTTGAGGCAGCTCTCGAGCACAGGCCCAATGAATTGTAGAACCACGGTGTGTGAGCGTCAATGTCAACAATAACCATATTGCCACAATGCTTCTCTTCTTGTAAACACAGGAGACTAATAAAGTACCAAAAGAAGAGCAAAACAAAACAAATGAGCAGGCATGGCAGAACGTAGGAGAATACCAGTGAAGCTCCCATGTGGGTAAGAGACACCTACTGTGAAAGCGTTTTTGTGCACCTTTTTACATCGCTGGCAGCATCCCCAACAGTGGCAAATTCTACAGGTAATGGACTAACAACCTCATGTTTCTCAGCAAACCTGCAAAAATAAAGGAACGTGATCTTAGGTCCCAACACCAAAAGTGCTAAAATGGGGAAGGAAGTGGTCAAATGGTGGACCTCGCTGCCAGGTGGTAAGCTTTAGGAATCGCTGGGTTAACCGCTATTTGCGTGGCAGCTGAACTGGACAGGAAGCAAGCATCTGTAAAAGGAACACAACAATTAAGGCTTCATACACAAGTACCAATGACACTCGAATGAAAGATCGAAGAACTCACTGCCCAACTTGTTGACCAAGAGTCCCCCCAAATGCGAGGATCACTGCCTCAATTCAATCAGCCTAAGTCAAAGCCACGTGGTCCAAGATCCCAGAGAAGTCATCCCAGAGTGTAACGGAGACCTTGTCTCAGCTGAGAGAAGAGCATGATCGATAAGACAGACAGTAAATTCCTAGAAAAGCAAAGACTGAATGAGCGAGAAGTGAGACAGAAGACCTCTCATCCTCAATGATGACCGACTAATTGACAGTGGGACCGTTGCTCGTTATCTTGTGTTAAACCCCACTTATCGAATGCAAACGACCAACCACATCTGCAAGAAAAGGCAAAAGGAAAAGAAATTTTGTGATAACCACATAAGTTAGATGAAACAAAAAGGAGAGGCAAATACGCAGAACAAAAGAAGATGGCAAGAGTTGTAGACCTGCCAGTAAGTGGTAGTCACCAGTACGGGAGAAAAGCTTAGCAAATGCCCGCAAATCGTAGGAATCAGAAGCGAAGCTCTAAGAAGTTAGGTTGAACTCATGGAAAAAAGTCGAGGGTGTGATGGCAAGGGCTAGATCAAACAAACACGCTCAATACATATTAGGGGGGTTGCTCAAACCGATAGACTTGATCACATATATTTTCCCCACGCATAGAGAAGAATGCATGTAACACCCCGATACTTTAGATTTAGGTTCGACCTTAATACGTGATCGGTTGGATTAACGGTTACGTACTAAGAGTTACAACCGCAGATTAAGAATAATATTATTATTATTACTTTATTCTTTAAAAAAAAAAGTGGGGCGGGCTGAGGAGGTCGGCGCCTCCCCCCAAATAATAAATCTTCCCCTCCCCCAATTTTATTGCCTCCAGCCGAAACAAGCAACGGCCATTTAAAAAAAAAAACCATTCTCGGTACTTTTGCAAGGGCCGCGGCGCAGAGAAGGGAGAAGAAGAAGAAAAAAAAGAGGAAGAAGGAAGGGAGCCGCCGCCTCCCTGTGCCCCGACTCCGATCCCGACCCCGACCCCATCTGATGACTCGATATTTTCACATGTTTTCCCCTTTGTTTCTTGATCGTTTGAGCTTTAATTATCGCGTCTTTGGCCTATTTTACGCTAGGTTGTGTTCCTTTGTCACATTTCAGGTCCTAGCACATAAAGTGAAGCATAGGCGCAAGTTTCAAGTCAATCAAAGATCAATTGGCGATTAGGGAGAAGAAACTCGGGCATGACCTGAAGAAGAATGGATTTCTACCTCACTTTATGGACAAAGAATCATGCAAGCTTTTCATGAAAAGAAAGAGGACGAGACTACGAGCGTCTGGGATCAAACAGCGACTGATTCAGAGTCCGGACGAGGGAGAAACGAAGCATTGAATATAGGGGAACATGTTCGGTAGTAAAAACACAGGCGCGCCTAAAGCAAAACACGACCGTGTCCATATTTAGGCACGAAAGTGTTTTGCCCGACGCGCGCGGGCGTGTTTTTAACACGGGGCAAAACATGGGCGGGGAAAAGCAAAGCACGGCCGTGGCCTCGACAATGTTTTGCCCAGAATCGGGTTTTTTAGGCAGATTGAGGCCAAAGTAAAGAGAGAGCTGGGTTTTGGTTCCCAAACACCCAAGGGACGAACCCTAGAGAGAGAGAGCGACTTGGGAACATTCTTGGAGCTATTTTGGAGGATTTCTTCACCATTGGAGCTCGGGAATCAAGCTTGGGGATGGAGATTAAAGATCTAGATCATATTTCTGCAGTCTCTCTCTTCTCTATGGAGCAACTTCCCTTCACTTAGGTTTTGAGGAACCCTAGTTCCATATGTTAGGATCTTTCTTGTATGAAGTTTTGGATGTTATATTGTTTGATTATAATCGATTGAGGCATGACTTATTGAGTCAATTGAATCTTGATCAAATTCTCTTGATTTCTACTTTAAGCTGCGATAGATAGAATCTGATTAGGTTAAGAGAGCTTCCTTGATTGATAGTGGTGAATTGGTTGTGCGAGAGTCAATCAATTCACTGCTTTGTACTGGAATTCATTCCAGTCGTGGAGATCTGTGTGAATCGCCTTAGCAGTCTATCCCGGTGAAGGCTAGTCGCCTGCCGGGTATTTTGTCTAAGAGGGCTTGGTCAGCTTAAGAGATTCCAAGCTAATTTAGGATCTTCCGCAGTTTAATCAACAGTAGATCAACCAAAGGTAATTGCAACTTGGACCTAATTGAGGAGCTAGGGGGAATCATACCTAATTGAGTTCCCAACTTGTAATTAGTAGAGTAGTTAATAGAGTAGTTTAGTAAATCAATCCTTAATCTAGTTTGCTAGATAATGAACAAAAGCTGAGTAATAGTAACTCTAGAGACCCGTGGATTCGATATTTATTACTTGTGCCACTATACTGCAGTCCCTTTCATTGGTTACACTTGGCCATTGTTAGGTGTTGTGTCGTAGCGTATCACCATCCCTTTCGTTCTAGCGGTGACGTTTGAGGGTTCGATCAACAAGGAGATCAACGTCCCGGGTCATCCAACCTAGGCCTAGGCACGTTCTAGAGGTAAGGGAACTCGACCCTTTCAGTTAGATCGATCGATTTGGTGATTTTTCGTGAGGGTGCAATTCTGGGTTTTAACAACAGGCTTTACAGTCCTTTAGTGACAGATTTTGTTTGGTGACTAAATCTGCTAGGAATTTCCAGAACGTATTTTTAGCTGTTTTAAATTGTTTCGAGCCTCTCTGAAGGTTGTTTTCTGGATCTAACAATTTTATAAATTGAGCGACGTCTAAGAGATGATTTTAATTTAATTTAGGAATTTTTGAAGATGTATTTCTATTTTTAGAAATTGTTTGAACATTCGTTTTAATTAAATAAAAATATTTCCGAGGAGTTTATAAGGGTTTGATAATTTTCCAGGTTATAAGTACTCATGATTGATATAGTAAAATTATTATCCGAATTTTTAAGAAAGTTCTATTTAGGTGAAAAATTCGTCTAAGTTAAAAATAATTAAGAAAATGGTCGTTTTTGAAGGGATTAATTCTAGAAAATTTTTAAAGGGGATTAAGGGACCTTTGGAGTGAGGTTTGAGGATGGGATTTTGAGTACAGGGTGTCTGGGTAGATAAAAAGAAGGTTTTTAAATCGAGAAAGGTTGTCTTAGAGTATGAACTTCTTATTAATAGGTGTCCTGAGATAATCCGGCTTAGGAGGGAAAGAAGGCGAGAAAGTTAACAGCTGATCGAACTTCGTAGTCCCGCGTGATGAAGAGGTTCACACCGATTAGTGGGAGGGGATGAGCTGCGTCTATTAGAGGCGGAAGGAAGGCCGAGAACTCGACATCGGTGATCGCAACTGGCGGGGGTAAAGTGATGGAGAGGCCCTAACCCTATCCTCCTAGACGACCCGGGGTGTCGGGAGTTAGAAGTTTGCCGCCGAATTGTGGCCCGAGGAGGGACATTGAAGAGAATGGCGGCGGAGTTCCAATGGTTAGGGTCATTAAAGAGGAAGACGATGAAGCGATAGAGAAGGAGCAAAAAGAGGAAAAACGCGCGGGGCTTGAGCGGGAGAACGCAGACGTTGATGTGACTAAAGAGGTGAGTTTAAAGGGGATAAAATCTCTGTCGAGGTCTTTTAGTTTATGCCTTTTATTTCAGTTATGTTTGTTATTTTCAAGTAAGCGCGATATGTTGTGTGAGGCATCCCACCGCCTGTAAGGTTGGAGGCACGCGTTGTGCTATGTATGAATGTATGGATGTATGGTTGTAATAGTTGGTTGATAGTATGAGAAACCCCCGGGCGGTTGGGCCACTACTGGACGCGGTAAATGGTCGGGTCACTGCTGGACGGCGAGACGTAACACAGTAGTTGACGGGCATGGTCTGGACGGCAAAACGTAACGCAGTGCCATTGCCGAGTTTGGGGTATGCAACCGGACGGCGAGACGTAACGCGGTTGGCATACTAGGGTAGGGACACCGGACGGCGAGACGTAACACGGTGGTCCTAGAGTTGTGTTTGAGTTAAGGATAGAAGGCGAGCACTCTTAGGAGTTAATGTTAAAAAGAGTTGGTAAGAATGATTATTTAAGAGCAGAAAGCGAGAACGGTTTTCATGCAAGGAAGGTATTCCCATAATAATGTGTTTAGTAAGGAGTTTGCCTAGGGCAAAGACCTTAGGAAGTAACGACGAGACTGACCCCTTCTCACTCACCAGGTTGAGGATAGTCTAGCAGAAGTGGATCATGAGAAGAAGCAGGGCGAGGCGAGCAGGAGTGCCATCGTCGTCGGGATATCGGAAAGCTCGTGAGGAGTCAAGTTAGATTAGTTAATTATTCTATTTCATGGTTATTAGTATGAACTGGAGATTCTGTGTTAAGTCGTTTTAAGTATTTGAGATTGAGAATTTTCCCAAGTGTTGGGGCTTTTCGTTAAATATTCTTAAATGATGTCGGTTTGTTGTTTTAAAATGTGGTTTGGGTTGCTCCGGAGTAACCGGTTTTTGGTTTGAGTTATGGTTTGGTTTTCGAAAAGAGACGGGACGTGTCAACGCATCCCAATGACCATTGAAGGTGGCAAAAGGTCATGGATCAACGTTCCCTTGAAAAAAATTCACATGAGAATTAGGTATTATGGACAAACAAAACTAAGTTAAGAAAGCTTACAGTCTCGTTGACCCACATGGTACAGTAGTTGAAGACTCGAACATCCCTCGACGACTTCGCCGGCCACATGTGGAGCAAAGGTAGGCAGAATACAACATTGGGCTTTTGCGTTCCAGCGAGATTGCAGAGGAGAGTGTATTCCATATTTGAAGAAGCCAGCCAGTAGAAAGATAGGAAGAACATTGGTGGCGAGAAGTATAGTCCGGAAAAAGTTTGAGAGAAAGAAAGGGGAAATATGAGTGGGAGCAATTGAGATTTTTGTGAGTCGCAAGTGGTTTTGGGGGGGATAGAGGCAAGGCAATGTAAAGCAGAGCGAAACTCTCGATGCAGGACAGAGAGAAGAGGGAAAAAATAGCTCCTGCCACGATTAGTGAACTGCCAATCAAAAATATTGAGATGGCGAGGGATTGATGAGAGAAAGATTTGAACCGAGGCCAATGCGCACCCTCTAATTTGACCTCATGCTACCACGACCTCCCTGTTGCAGAATTCAGCATTAACCATCGCAACTCCCTAAGGGCTCAAAACGACGACAGAGAGAATATCTCTCGGTAACAAAGACCTGCCGAGAACGCCAGCAAGGCAAGCGAAGATGGAGAACCAATCAAAAAGAGGGAAACACTAAATTTAGGTCTAAATGAATAGGAAAAGCACCCTTGAGCTACATGGATCATCAACTATGAAAATAACTTACCTTAATTTAAATGACAAGTTTAGTTTATGGGGTTTAGCAGGGCACAAAGGGGCACAATAAAAAAATTTAAACCTTTTGCCCAATGTTTTTTTTTATCCTTTCTTTAATTTTCTCGTTTCTACACCTGTTTCTTCGCCTCGAATTATTCAACTTTTTTTTATTCATTCTATCTTTTTTCCATGACTTTTTCATTCCATCGTTTCTATACCAGTTTCTTAATTCTCCAATGATTGTTCTTTTGATTGACCAAGGTTTTTTCATTCTATTGTCTTTTCCATCTTTTTTACCCATTTCATTATTTAATTTCTTCGTTTCTACACCATCCCCCACTTTGACGAGACGTTTTTCCCATTCCGTTGTGTTTTTCCATAATTTTTAATCATTCTATTGTTTTCCCCATTCGTTTGTTCATTATGTCGTTTCTACACATGTTTTTCCCCTTGTGATTATGCAACAATTTTTTATTCATTTTGTTGCCTTTTCTCATTATATCTTTTCTACACCCATTTATTCCCCCTCTGATGACTTTCTTGACGATTGACCAAGTTCTTTTTTTCATTTTTTGTGTTTCCCCCATCATTTTCGTAATTTCATCGTTTCTACACTGGTTTGTTCCTCCCCTAGTGATTTTTCTGACAATTGGTTATGCATTCTTTCTGGTATGAGGGTTCATTTCTTAGACTTCCAAGAAACAACTTGTGGTAACTCTTTCAACTATGAAGGCTACGTTTATAGCTGCAACTTGTTGTGTGATTCGGACTTAATTATACATATTTAGTACCGGCCAGACCTTGTACTGGTCAGACCCACAGCATAGGATCTCACAATTTCAAGGGCCATAATATTTGAATTGTTTATATGGGCCAGGGGAAGGTTGCATGGGTCAAATAAAAAAAACATTAAATGTGCTAATCTTCTTCTTAAAAATATTAAAGGGCTTTGGATTTAGATCATGTCCACATCAAGCTTTCTAAAATGATATTCCCCATCAGAAAATGTATTCTCTTTTCCGCATAGTGCATGATAACTCCAATAGTTATTGGCCATTTTTTAGTTTTAATTTGTTCTTATCCACAAATCTATCCGCCAGTTTTGTTTACCATTTATTTATGAATATCCACTTTTTAATAATGTTTATATTTCTGCCTTCTTTTCCTTTCTAGCATCTTTTTCGACCCTTTTTCTAAAATTCATGTAGTCGTTCTCTTTCTTATAATCATAATTATCTACATTTTGACAATAATAGTTACTTTTTCATAAACACATAAAATATTCAATTTTTTCCAAAATTTTAACGGAATCATTTTACATGCTGATTGGACTAACGTTAAACAAGGACAAATGAAATTATTACTTTGGTAATTATTTTCTGAACCTATGCATTTTTCAGCATTATTTACTAATCTTTAATTATAATAAATTTGTGAAAAAAAAATATTAGGGCTGCATTTTAAATTTTCGAACAGGGCCTACAAATATCATAGGCCGGCCCTGCTCCCATTTACACTCCCTTTTCTTGATTGTTTGACTTGTGATTCATCGTTCTTGAGACCATTTCAAACTAGGTTGTGCTTGGTTGAGTGCATTTCAAGTCGTAGCAGTTGTATATGGCAAAAGGAGCAATTTTCGGACCAATTGGAACCAAAACGTGGACAAAGTGAAGAAAGTGTCAATAGTCACGGTACAGAGCAAATTGCCATGGCCAGGATTTGATGTTCACAGGAAAGTCGTGATATTTGCACACTCTCAGTTACATACATGCGTTTGCGGGTGCTTAAGATGTCATAGTTTCAACCGTGACATTTACAACTAAGCCATGATATGTGTAAGTTAAACGACACAATTTGGGTTGATCTCACGGTTTTGTTGTAAATGTCATGACTCATGACCGTAATGTTCCAGTGTGACTTTGACACCTCTAGCTATAAATATGAGCGTAAACAATATTTGAAGAAGAGGAGTCGAAGTGAGAAAGTGGGTAATTATTGGCTAGAGAGAGTCAGAGAGATATGAAGAAGGAGAACCCTAAGTGGTGAATTGAAGCTTTTATCCATCATTGGAGGCCAACTCAACAATAAGGGTTGGAGATTGAAGATCAAGAGGAAGAACCAAATCCGCAATGATAATTTATTCTCTTAGATTTGTGTTTGTCTCTCTTTATCACTATGAGCTAAATCCTTATGCACTTGGATGTTGCAGAACTCTAGGTATGTATATTAGATTACATTGTTAAATGATTCATTTGTTTGAACTCTTTCTTATATATAAAATTGAGGTATTTCATGGAATTATTTGGATATTGATCAAACTCTCCATTGTTTCTATTAATCTAAAGTAGATAATATCTAATTAGGTTTATTAGAGAAATTACCCAATTGATCATTGTGGGTCTATGGATCGAGCGTGAAATAGGACTATAATGTCGTATTAGATCATTATCCATTGGTGGGAATCTATTTGGCCCTAGTCCTTTTATTTTGTGTGATATGGAAACTCTCCCTACGGATAGTTCGTTCTAAGTGAGCTTGGATAACTCCAAAGAGAGTTCAAGCGGGATTAGGATTCTCCACGGTATAAATCTCAAATTATCAAGCTTGGAACGTCAATTATCGGTCTAATTTGTAGCTAGAGGGAAGTGACACCAGATTGAATTTCTCTCGTTAGTTTTCAACCCAACTTTATTTGTTTTGCTTTGTCGTTTTTTGCCTTAATTCAAACTTTGATTTGTTAGATAACAATTTTGTCCATGAAGTAATAATAGATTTGCCACCAAGGTTGATAGTTGAATTTACTGCCACCATAACACACCCGGTCGTTGGTTGCACTTGGACAATAGTTGGGATAAGTAGTTAAGTAGGATCGAGTCATTTTGCAACACAATTTGTTTGGGTTAAAAGAATTTTAGAGCGAACGGGGTGGAAGAAAAGTGTAATGGCAGCAACAATAATCCTGCATGACAATAGTTCCACAATCAAGCTTTCAAGAAACGATATGCTCTATAACAAAAACAAACACATCTATGTAGGATTTCATGTTTTTAGAAAACAAGCAAACAAAGATGTGTGAAGCAGGAACATTGTGACATATGTGACATAATGACCGAATCTTCGAAATAGGAAGTGTTTCAGTTAATGAAACTCATGTTGGAAGTATGTGATATTTCAGAGTTTTCTTGTGCAAATTGAGACTTGATTAAGATGAACGGAAGATAGGAAGACTGACTTCAGTTGGGAGGATGTGTTGAAGTTGGAATCCTTGTGACATAATGATTGGAGTTCTAGCACCAAAAAGAAGTTCAAAATTGAGCATGTTCGTCTTAAGTTGAAACTTTGTCATTTGGAAAAGTTTGTTTAGGTCCTTTAAGTTTTCAATAGTTGCTTTTGAGTCATGACGTGTTTATTTAGAGCTTTCAGTTCAAGTATGAAGTCATGTTAGCTAGTTAATTGGTAGTGGGATGAAAACCAGAAATTAGGGGTTAGTGACAATTAGTAGTGGCCAAGATTGATGAACAAGATGAGTGCTTATCTTTTATCAACATTCAACAAAATTGTTGTCAGTTTGCAATCCAATTGAGTTCTACAATTTAATACTTTGTTCTAACTGTCAAAAATCAACCTTTCAACCATGAATCATCAAACACCTACAAGGTTTCTTCTCTATTTCCATCGTCTGTTGAAGAAAAGAAAATAACTAACCTGGAGTGTAGTCAGCCATAAAGTTGCGGTCTTGCATATATCGAGGTTGAACTTCTTTTCGCCGCAGGTAAAGAATGTCCTAGACTCATAGCAAGTAGCAACTGATGAGAGTTTCTATCAAGGTTGTCAAACTGGTTTATACCGTTGTGTCGGTTTGGCAAATGGAATGGTACGGCCGGTGGTATAACCAGTTTGTGCCGGTTCATTCCGGTTTAAAAAAATGTTAAAACAATTAATATCTCATGTATTTAATCATATATAAAACATATTTGTGGATAATTTAGTTACAATCCAAAAAATATCATCAACTTTTAACTATTACATTCATAAAATGAATAATAAATTAATTTTTTATTCATTAAACTCATTAAAATGATGTCATTTTACTTAGAATGCGTAAGTCGATCATACCAGTCATACCAGTGGTGTCCTGCCGGTTTCATTAAAGGCACAGGTTGAACCAGGTTCAACCGGGTGGCATGCCACCGGCGTGACAAGTGACAACTAGGGATGGCAATGGGTCGGGTTGGGGCGGGTTTTTTCAAACCCAAACCCATGGGTTTATCCCAAAAAAAACCCGGGGTAAAATCCGTTGGGTTTGAAAAACTGAAACCCAACCCGCTGGGTATCCACGGGTTCATGGGTACCCGTATGTTTTTGTGGTTATAAATTTACAATAACAAGTTCCTTTCAAAATAAAAGTTTAACATCAATTTTCTCATATAAATTAATCATACAAAAACCCGTCAACACGGATTTTACCCACATTGACCGGATTGAGTCGGGTGGATACCCGTGAGTTCGGGTTTTGTTGCCATCCTAGTGACAACCATGGTTTCTATCATTCTATGTGAGCGAAGCTGGTTGTGCTTTCCCAATCGGGCTAAGCCAGGCCCAAGTTTCGCAAAAAAAGGGGACAGGGCCCAAAATAAGCTAATGTAAAGAGGGCGGTTTCGGGAATCGGGAATGCAGAATTCCAACGGCTATTTTTTTCATAGTTCCGTTCGATTTCCCCTAAAGCCCTAAATCTCCATTGTTCCCGTGATGGAGCTATAAAACGCTCGCTCTCCAACTCGATTTCTTCACCAATTGCTCTCTCTGCTTTGCTACGATTCTCCAATTGACAAACCACAAAGCACCTCTCTCAGCGCTTCATTCTACTTCTCACGGCTCTCGTCTCAGAATCTGCTCTGCTTGCCGGCGATTCCTTTCTGTTTTTATCTTGATTTGCGATTGAATCTAACCTCTTGTTTTGCAGATCTTCCTGTTGTTGATTGCTCGCTTATTTTTCCTGAGTTTCTTGGTTAATTGTTTACGGTGAATTGTTAGGTTTGCTTCTTGTTTCGTTTTTGCTCTGTTTTTGCTCTGTGTTTGAATTGATGGATGCAGGATCTGCAAATATGAGCTACACCACCCCCAATCCCAGATTCCCTCTGCAGAGAAGGGGTTCCAAAGAGAACGTAAGCATTTATTTTCACATCTCTCGAACCTCTTGTCTTTTCTAGATCTAGGGTTCCGATTGAATTTTGAAATCCCAGTTCATAAGAGAAAGATTTGTTCTTTTCACCGCCCCAGTATTCTGTTCTCTTTTTGGGATTAGGGTTTGATAGAAATAAAGATCAGTTCTTACTTTTTTCTTTGCGATGGTGACAACAGTTGGACAGATTCATCCCGAACCGTTCAGCTATGGACATGGATTACGCCCATTTCATGGTGACTCAAGGTAGGAAAGAAAAGGATAACTTAGTCCCAAGCTCTCCTTCAAGCGACGCCTACAAGAGACTGCTCGCCGAGACCTTGAACCTGAACCGAACCAGAATCCTGGCGTTCAAGAACAAGCCTCCTGTCCCTGTCCAGCTGATCCCTCATCAACACACTTCTTCAGCTTCTTCCACAACACACCAGGCTAAACCCACCAAACCCCGCAGGCACATCCCACAGGTAACAAAACTCTCTTCATTCCACATCTTACTTGAATTGCTGATTCCGATTGTCTCGGTTAGTTTGTTGATGGAAAAAGTAGCTGATCGTGTAATGCTTTGCATTTGTTGGCAGACTTCAGAGAGAACACTGGATGCTCCAGACCTCTTAGACGACTTCTACTTGAACTTGCTCGACTGGGGCAGCAGCAACGTTCTAGCCATAGCTCTAGGAAGCACGGTTTACCTCTGGGATGCATCCGACGGCTCCACTTCTGAGCTCGTGACAGTGGACGAAGAACACGGCCCTGTCACCAGCGTGAATTGGGCTCCAGATGGCCGCCACATCGCTATTGGACTCAACAACTCCGAAGTTCAGTTGTGGGATTCAGCATCCAACAAACAACTACGAACACTTAAAGGTGGGCACAGATGTCGCGTTGGCTCACTGGCATGGAACGACAACATCCTTACCACAGGAGGAATGGACGGCAGGATCGTCAACAACGACGTCCGGGTTCGCGACCACATTGTCGAGACTTACAGAGGCCACACACAGGAAGTCTGCGGGCTCAAATGGTCAGCGTCAGGGAAGCAACTAGCAAGTGGGGGAAACGACAATCTCCTCCATATCTGGGACAGATCGGTGGCATCCTCCAACTCCCCAACCCAGTATCTCCACCGGCTCGAGGATCACACTTCAGCAGTCAAGGCCCTCGCGTGGTGTCCATTTCAGTCCAACTTGCTTGCTTCGGGAGGCGGAGGTGGAGACAGGACGATCAAGTTCTGGAACACACACACAGGGGCGTGCTTGAACTCTGTGGACACCGGATCGCAGGTTTGTGCACTGCTGTGGAACAAGAACGAGAGGGAGCTTCTGAGTTCTCATGGGTTCACGCAGAATCAGCTGACTCTGTGGAAGTATCCGTCAATGGTGAAGACCGCGGAGCTCACGGGGCATACGTCGAGGGTTTTGTTCCTGGCTCAGAGTCCCGATGGGTGTACCGTGGCCTCGGCTGCTGGAGATGAGACACTGAGGTTCTGGAATGTGTTTGGTGATCCTAATGAAGCGGCAAAGAAATCGGCTCCGAAAAAGAATCAGGAGCCTTTCGCTTGGGCGAATCGCATCAGGTGAAGAAGGATTTGCTTATGATCAAGAGCTGTTTCTTGCAGTGGATTTAAGCTAGCAATTGTGAATTTTTAGTAGGCTTCTGAGATAGATAGTCCACTAGTGAAGAAGCGGCCCCCTGCTTCCTTACTGTTGCCCAGATTTTCACTTGAATGATCATGTTCTCTATGAAAAAAGGCTGCTGCCCAAGTGGATGTCATAAACAAGTAAATATAAAGACGAATCATCATTAATCCCCCAGATTTTCACTTGAATGATCATGTTCTCTATGAAAAAAGGCTGCTGCCCAAGTGGATGTCATAAACAAGTAAATATAAAGACGAATCATCATTAATCCCGTGGATGTAGTCGCCATTATGCGATGAACCACGTAAAAATTATGTGTCCTTGATCTATTGTTCTCTTCTGGGTTCCCTTTTTCTTCGTTGGGGAAGTCTAGCAAATATCCAGTTGGATGAATGTGAGAATGAAGAAGAAATATGGGAGGGGATGCATTTTTTTTCATTTTTTGGGTTTCTTCAACTTTGTTGCCTTCGAAGTAATCTGGGAGGCTGGGTGCACCATCCATGAATACAAATCATAATCGAACTGCCGAATCAGAAAATTTTGGTGCTAATCTATAGCTTTATACCGAGTTCACGAGTTGGAGATAAGCGGACTCGAACCGCTGACATCTACCACAGGGTAAACCACTGCCTCTCAAGCCCCGACTGATTCTACCATAGAGACTAACGATAGACAATAACTCCCCCCAAACACAGCTTAATTCATTCTGCATTAACCTTTTATCTCTATGCATTAGCATGCCAAATCTCCCAAGTTTTATCAATGAATTCTTCGCATCTGCCTTGCCGTTTGCTCCCTTATTTATTGTGTTAAGCAAAAATGAATCAGTGAAGAAAGATGGTTTTTTCTTGGTTTATCAACTAGTTGTGGCCCAACAAAATGATTCCATGCAGTCCTCCAAATCACACACACACGACTCAAATCGCTTTGGACATTAAAATTACAGAACTTGGGATGTGTCATAAAAATAAAAGGTTCAACGCTGAATGAATGGTGAAGCCAGCCTCCAGATTACTTCAGAGGCAACAAAAATGTCGTGTCAATTAACAAACTGATCTGGCAAAAAAGTAGAAGAAACCACCAAAAGAAGAAAAAAAACTGTATCCTCCCATCTTTCTTCTTCCTTCTTCTCATACCAGAAGGCTCTCGTTTCTTTATCACAACTTAAGGATTCAAAAGTTCCCATTGATCAAAAAGGGAAAAATTCGCCAGGATCGATTGCTCGATGGCCTAGTTCTTCTACATTATATTCTTCTTTATTGCGAGTAAATCTGAAACTGCGTCCGGAAATGTTGAAACGCCACACTAGAGCTGCCTCTCTCATTTCGCATGGAAAATTGAGTTCACCGACTCGTAGCTAGGGACATGTATGACTGCCAGAAGAGGCGGGGAGCATAAAAATGTGAATAGCATAAGTTCACTGCTAGGGGAATAAGAGAACCACAGATGAAGGGAGATGAACTGATATTATTACCATCGCCATAAGATGCCATTGTTAGAGGTGAAGCGATCAACTTCTGTGAAATGTCAGTTATGTCCTTCAACGTGATCTCATCCACTGCCTTCAAGAAATGATCCACTGGCTTTCTGCATGAATTACCAGATTAAAATAAATCAAAGTTGCGAAGATCTCTCAGGTTGATGAACAATGAGAGAAGAAACCATCGAATGACCTAGATATTAATTACCTTTCACCGTAAGTCAGATACTGCCTGCCAATATCTTCCGCCACAATCATCTACAACCATAACAAAACAAGGAAATCAATCTACTGCTAGTAGCTATAACTCCAGCATTGGAATTCAGAATGTAGTATAGAGAAGAAAGAAAGAAAGAAAGAGGCCAACCCTAGACTCAAGATTCATGAGAACTGCAGATTTTGTGGCCTCTTTAGCACGATTTAGCTGTGTCTCACTAACTGCCATCATTGAAAGACGAGATTAGGAATGGTAAGAAGACTTATTACAGCAACAACAACAAAATAAAGCTTATTAGGATATACCTTGTTTAGGAGTAGCAATGGAGATTAATTCCCCTGCAGCTACATCAACTGCCTTTGCTACGAAGTCAGAAGTCTGCATAAAATAACAGAACAATTCGTCATACACACACTCATAACATCACTAAAATTACTAACTAAACCCACAAAAGGCCTTTTAGACTTACAGTGGTTGCATAAATGCCAAATAATCCAGTGTTGTTGAAGATACTGTTGAATGCAGAAAAGGACTGGAGCTGTTGATAGTTATTTAGGACACGGAGATCTAAAGTTTACAAACATAACCAAGGTGTTAGAGAAAGTAAAGCAGTATTTTCAAAATAGGCATACGTTAGTATTCCGTACTAAGATAAAAATGAACACTGCTTACACAATCGTGAGTGCATCCCTTTCCCGGGTCCCCCTGCAGAGAACGAGCCACCTCCTCCCATAAGCATCTGCAATAGTAGCATCCTTTTATCAACTGTTGTATTGTCAACACTTATATACCAAGAGCCCCAGGAAAGAGGGGGAAAAAAATGGAAGAGTACAGGAGGATTCAGAGATGATAAGATGTTTCGGGGTGAAAGGCAATATGAAGCACCTGGAGCACAGTTAGAGTAATAGCTTCTTTTTCATTATGCCAGCCTCCAGGAACTTCAAAAGCAAGAGCAACATGTGTTACCTGAGATATGAACAGTCATCCATGTAAGTGTCGTATCTAAAGAGCAATAGATGGTCTAGGAAAAGGGGAAAACTAAGAATAATCCATATGTACCGGTAAATCTGCCTGGCGACGATAATCCCCACCGACATATACAGATTTTGGTGCTTCCGGATGTTGGACAAGTGGAAGGTCAGAGAGAAGTGGTTCAGCAACAGACAAAAGCTCCTCAAATTCAACCCCTGACGCTGCAAGGATCATTCTAGGAGCTGTGTAATTCTCCTGACAGTGCAAATAATGGAACCCCTTCAATAAAATTATATATAGAAACAATGGTCACAAAGCATACAAAGATTGGTGCTCTTACAGCTACAAATTCCTCCAAAATGTCACCGTTCAGTCTGCTCAATGCTGCCTCTGGAGCTAAAAGAGGATTCGCCAATGCACCGGTGTAACCAGCAGAATGAATAGCCTCCAACAGTAAGCCTTGGGGATTGTTAGAGATTTGACTGAGTTCGTCCTTCACCCTTTTCAGCTGTAACATAACATGGATTTAATAAACAAAATACAATTTTTTAAATAACTTGTCGTAATTGACTGCGTATTCAGGAGATAGAACTTAAGCAAGTATCATTAACAATGACTTCCTGTTTCTGGCACTGAAGTACCAAAGAATGTAAGATAGTGGCAACGTCCATTTAGATTTCTTGAAAATTCTTTTATTCCATAATGGACAAGGGCTCTTCCCAGAAGTCAACAATGATAAGACAATCTAATAATGGTCCTAAACAGATTTGACAAATCACTTGCAATTACAAAGAATATTTAAAAGGCTTCAGATTTTGAATTTACAACACTTGATATACAGCGGTAATTCAACATATGGAATCGAGCTGCAATTACAAGTACGAAGCGAGATGTAAAGAACATAAAAATAAACCTACAAAAATGGAGGGGCACAAGAAATCATCAGCGCTGGGAAAAAGGATAAACCGAGAGACTCGTAGAATTTTACTAGCATATATCTGAAAAAATTACCTCCTCATTGACTTCCCAATCAATGAACACGGGATTTCTCACGGAGTCGATGAGCAATTCTACCATTTCAGGAACATAGGTCTTCAAGGCATCAAACGAGTATCCAATTTGTTCTCGCGAAGCCGAGGATGCTACAGAACCACCGATGGCCTCAACTTCTCTCACAATGCGAAAATGGCTCCTGTTTCGAGTGCTTTTGAATGCCATTCTTTCAAGCAAATGAGTGGCTCCACACGATTGGGGTGTTTCATAGATAGAACCACAGTCAATATACATCCCTATTGATGCTGCAGGACCCTATTTCAACAACCAAACAGAAGATCAGTTTTCTTTCACATGAAGAAAGAAACTGAGGCACAGAAAGAAGGCAGCATAAAAAGCATACCGGAGCTGTCTCAGAGACTATTGTCAGACCATTTGGAAGGGTTTTCGACTTAATCATGCTGGGTTCAACATAATCTGGGAGGGATGGTGGAGAAGAAACGCCTTCAAATGGAGAATTCAGAGGAGGAAAAGAACTAGCACGTTCACCAATCAGCCAGCTGAAAATTTCCGGGGAGGATGATGTTGTAGAAGCAACTGCACTTGATGCTGCATATCGGGTTGCACCCAGATTTCCCACACGCCCCTATGTATTGGGGGGGGGGGGGGGGGGGGGGGGGGGGGGGGGGGGGGGGGAAGGGAACAGTGTTAGCCCAGAGAAATGTTTACATTCGAAGAGAGCTAAAAGGAAACTATGCACACACTTTCAATTGCTAAATGAGAAGGTGACCACTCAACACTAACTACGCGAAGAACAAGTACATAAGCTATGAATCACATTATCATAGATGTCATCATTCTTAAATGTTGCTAGATTGCTAAATGAGAAGGCGAATACTCAACACTAACTAAACAAAGAGCAAGTACCTAAGATATACCTAAGCTATGACTCCATAATCATAGATGCCATTATTTTCAAATGCTGCTAGTGCAAGATAAGAAACTTCAACCAAAGGAACTCAAACTAATGGCAGTGTACATCTGGTGGATTAGGAGACCAGCGTCCTTGTCTAGAAGAAAAGAAGATGACCCCTTTCATTAACTAGTAGAACCCAATTTGACATAAGACGGTCCTTGTCAGTAATCACAGAAAAAACTTTCCACCGTTCTTATGACCCAAAAAAAACTGTGCGTACAACAAACTTAAGCCTGTTTCACTGGAAAACGACAAAAAGAACTTAGCCTATCTAACATAAACCATACGAGATGCCCCCAGAACAGGAACTGTAATCAAAACTCGCAAATGGGAAAAGAAAGACGGATCTCAGGGAAATGCAATGAATTGAGGAAATAGACAGAGTGAAAAGTACTGATACATTCATTCAATGTCTCAAAGATACACACTTTTTCCTCCTGACTAATCAAATCACTCAATAACTCAAACGAGAAATTTAGGGCAGTACTCTATTTCATTCATTCTGTCCCGAACAAACTAACCTTGAGAGCTCTGAGGCGCGAAGCAGCACTTCTGTACATATCGACCTTAATGTTATTTCCACGCAGGAATTGAGCTTTTCTCGACGATGGAGGTTGCCGCGCTCAGGTCTCGGTTTCCCGTGCGTGTGTGCGGTCGCAGGTTTGATTTCGGAAGGGAAAAAGGTGGCGTAGGCTGAAGTTCAGGGGAAGAACAGAAAAAAAGGATGAGAAAGAAGGTTTGTCATTGAGACGTGCGAGTTGGGCCCATATTTGGATGTTCCTTCCGAGCTGTATGCTCATTGGGCTTCCCATTTGTGGTCTTTACAGGAGACTTGTGCTCAAAGATAGAAGAAGGCACATATCTTCGTTTTTTACATTTTCGTATAAATAAAATAAAAATTCTTGCTTACCGATAAACGTGCTTATAAAAATATGGTGTTCTTCTCCTTCTTGCATTAGGATTTTTATTAAGATCGGATAACATCACCAGCAGCGGTTGATGATATAACACCCACACAGTTACTGATTAACTGACCCCAACATCGACAAGGTGCCGAAGTGGCAGTGGGAGCATTTGTAGGTTTTTATGAAAGAGATGTTCTTATCATATTATTGCTGAAAAGAAAAATCGAATTCCTACAGAACGAGAGCTCGTGTGGAACCTTTTCTTTCTGACGTAACTGCGGTGGAACATAAAAAAAATTACGGTCGCATAACATAAGGGTCAGAAGTACAGTGAGTGTTACAAAAAGGCTAATGAGACTGAGTTCTCTAAAATCTTTAAATTGGTTGAAAAAAGCAGCATTGTTCTTGAATTCTTGCTTCTGAGCATCGAGAAGAGCTCAGCCACGTTATGCGTGCGCAGCTGAGATTGAAAGAAGAATTTCTAGTATTAGGATAATCTTTTAATTTCAAATACAAAAATGAAAATTAAGAAGGGAAGTCAATCGATCCTTATTTCTTTCTTCAATCCCTAAGGAAAATTTTTACTCTCGACTTACCAATATTTTGATGTGTGGTTATTATAGGTCAGCCTAAGAGCGAATCTTCTCTTTCTCTTTCACTAGCCTGTAATAAATCTGTCCTATCATTTTGCTCTACGATCCTCCTCCACTTCCCAAAGCTAAAGGCAACGTATTCAAAATTAATTTGCTTCAATACTTCACCGCAGCAGCTAATTCAGGACTCTAATTGGTAGCCTCACGAATAATTTCATTACCCTCATGAGCAAGTATCACAACATTTCGATCCATCCATCATGTACATTGTCCCTTTGGTGGTGTGTTGGAATAAAAACTTATTAATAGAAGAGATTTCACGAAAAAGGTGTTTTTATATTCTTAAGATAAAAGAATATTTCTTTTCTCAATTTGAATCGGTCATGTCAGGGAATTTTAGTCTGGACCCCCGTGTGATGGCGTAGTCAGCCGAGACCCCTGACAGAGGAAAGAGTCTAAGGAGTCCAACGTTCGACCAAGCATAAGCAATGTTGGAGATTGGTGATGTCGTCGAATTCCTTGGTTGCCCAGGTCATGAGGAGTCGCTACTATCCTCGTGGTACTGTTGAAGCCATAAAAGTTCTACTACGAGAATGGCTTGTGCACTATATTCCGCCCCGGTACTAGACCAACGCGATGTTTTACATGAGTCCAAGTTAGAAGGACATCATACCAGAATCATACAATTATGACCTCGATATGGGTTCCTTCTCTGACCGAGATCTTTGGAGATGATTCCGTATCATTCCTTTATATTGGAATGGGTGAAGAATCGCCTGAAGAAGAGGAAAATTAAAAAGCATGAGGAGAATTCTTTTCGCTTAAGCCCTTGACAAAAGATCTTCACCATTGAGAGTTAACTGGGGGTTGAACTCAAAGTTGCTCAATGAAAAAGCCATAAACAACCGGTGGGGCACCCCTATCACATAAAGGGCGAACCCATCTGAGAATGCCAAGCCTGGAAATAGTAACCCCGGAGGATCTCCATATGCTCAAATATTCTAATTTTCTCAAAATTTCCATCCACCTGCGTCCGCTTTTGCGTTAGAAGGTTGTCAACCTGATTAGCCAGTTGGTGGGTTGAGAGTCAATGGTCAGATCCCTTTAACTAGATTTAGTCAGAATATATAAAATAATTTATTATATTTTTCATACATTTGTAAATTATATCAAATCTCATCTAACATATGGATAATAGCATATAATATTACACAAAAATAATAGTTTGTACTTGCATCTAACATATAGTAAAAAATCAAACACACTCATTTAACATCAATATTCAAATATTCACCTTAGAATTCCAAAAACAGAGTTAGGCGAAGGAGAAACCGGAAAAGAGCTGCATTTAGCAACCAAAGGGAAAACAACACCATGTTACCTTCAACAGGGAACCTTGTTGCACGTCGACCCGTGAGTGTGTGGCACCCATTTTTCTCAACGGGTCTAGGTCAAACTGGGTTAACCCGCCAGTCGACCTGCGAGTTGCCAACCTTGATGTGTGGTGCCTCCTCTCTTAAACATGGGGTAAATAAATAGTTACCTACCAATGTTTAAAAATCAAATCAACCGGTCGGATTGAAAATACCGAATATCGAATCCAAATCAGTAGGCATGTATAGCAGTAGAAAACAATTGAACCATAGTTAAGCCACCATTTTATTAAAAAATACCTACCATTGACTTTTCTAGTATAACCTCCAGTATGTTTTTACATCCGTCTTACCTACACTCCTATTTTATACTCGCCTCGTGAGTTCTTCCGAACTGGCGTGTGGTAACTTCCAGTCCAACTAGCTAAAGGTACAACATATCGGCAACCATGGTTCAAAACAAGACACGCTTAGGCACGCCTAGGCGCAAGGCAATGACAAACCGCCTCGGCTAGGGGTTTTGCGCCTAGTTAGAGACCAGAACACGTCAATGGAGTAAGGCGACATCTAAGTCTCTCCTAAACATAACTAGATGGAGCTAGGAAGTCAATATTAAAGGAGGAAATTAACGTCAACTACGAAATCAATTTTCTATATCAATATTTTCAATAGCTCAATAACTTCGTGAGCTATTGATCTATGATTCTATAAATTTGTGAGCTAGTTATTGTCATTAAGTGTTGAGTAAGTTATTAATAATTTTAACCGAAGTGAGGAAGTATTGCAGATTATTATTTCTTTTATCATGCAGTGCGAATAGCTATTTTCTTCTAACGTTGGGCACGCTTAGTCTACGCCTAGGCGAGCTAGGCGCTAGGCATAGCATCAACGTTCGCCTTACGCCTGGCGCCTTCTTGAACCTTGTCAGCAACTCAAGCAAAGGATCTCTTCCACCCTTATCTATCCGCTAGCCGCGACAGACTAATGCCTTTTATGTATGATTGACTAAGGTTGTTAGCGTTGCTAGCTAAACCAGATGAACTTGCTCCTCATATTAACTGTATCTGTATGCACTTATCTAATTATGCTTATTTCGGGTTTCCCCATATTCATTCATTTTTTGGTCCAAAACCCTTTCTATATGATGCTAAGTAGTCAAACTATATTTCTGATATCGATTTATAAAATAGTTTAGAAGGAAATGGCCATGTTGACAAGGGTATCTACAATCCACAAGCAAAAATTGGTTGTTGTTGTTGTATCTTTCTATTTGCAGATTCTTGCTATATATTCCACATTAGTAATAGAATTCCACCAGGTCGTTTGAATGCTCCAACCTTGTATCACAAATGTGCCACACAACAGGAGAACATTTTAGGATGTGATTCATGGGTCGAGCAACCAAAAACTTTGATGCCTCTAGTCTTGCGTTGATTAGGATGGATCGTACATAGTTTGTTTAGGAAGTTCTATGAGCTTCTTGTTGTTGAAGGAGGATTGAAAAGTACAAGCTAAATAGACAAATGAAACGGTTGTAATATTCTTGTACGCTATTGCACACAACGAGAATAGGATGTTATCGAAGTTGTTTCTTTATCGCAAGAGACAATATAAAAGTAGATAATTGATGTGTTACAGCCTGTCTTTAGATTGAACCGCATTCTATTGAGAGAGAAGTGGGAGGTTGGAGGATTTCCAGCACTCGAAGACCCTTCTTTCTAATTTCTTCCCCTTTATTCATGTCCTTTCTTTCCCCCTTCGTGGGGTACTCCCTCAAGGTACTTTGGGGATTGTCCCCCAACGCCTAATGTATGATTTGATAAGTAATAGGATATTTTAGGCTTGATTTCTGGATAATTATGAACCTATTTATCTATGTCTATTTGATGCTTGTTCTTTTACACATCAACTAGTGTGGGATTGTCTGTATCCCATTTTTCCTAGTTGCAACTTAGGTGGTAGGGGATTTATCATTTTTCTAATTTATGGATGAATTGTGATTTATCGATACAAGTAGGCTACTCAAGAGCGAGAAGAAGACCAGATGCAGGAAAAGGAGCCAGAGGTTTCGACCCCACCATCCTAGCTAGTAGTGGCTGAATATAAACCTCAGCTCGTCTTTCCTAGCCATCTACACAAGGATCGCCTAGAGGTTGAATCCGGGAACATCATGGCCAGGCTGAAGAAGTTGCAGCTACAAGTGCCATTCCTTGAGGCATTATCTCATATGACCAAACACGCCATTCCTGAAAGACCTCCTCTCCGAAAAGAAGAAGCCGAGTGATCTTTCCACCATAGAGCACAATGAGGAATGTTCGGCCATTCTGCAGAATAAACTTCCATAGAAACATAAAGACAGGGAGTTTTACTATCCCTTGTTTTATTGGTAAATTTCATGTAGAGAGATTCTTGGTGGACCTAGGCGTGAGTATCAATGTTATGTCCTATAAACTAATCAAGAAACTACGCCTAGGTGAACCAACTTCGACTAGGATGAGTGTCCAATTAGCGGACCGTTCCATAGTTCATCCTAGGGGCATAGTGGAAGACCTTTTGGTTAAGATTGGCATGTTCTTTTATCGTGTGGATTTTGTTGTCTTGGACATCAATAAGGATGCAAAAATGTCCCTTATACTAGGAAAGCCTTTCTTGGCCACTGCCAAGGCCCTCATTGATGTGCATAATGGGA